GTATATTTGATAAACTTAATAGGTAAAATTGTAAATGTTAATTTTTTCTGACTAAAACTTTTGTAGATTTTTTTATTATTTTAATAGATTATCTAAAGTTAAATTGTAATTAATAAATATTGATGATTAATAACCAGAAATTGTCTCAATTTTCTTCGCAAATCTTTTACTCCATTAAAAAACAAGTGTGTCATTTTTTAATTACTTTTTATAATCTCGAAAAGATACTGCAGATAGAATGTGTTAAATTACGCTTTTAATTTATTTTTTTTTAATTAAGAACTTGTAATTTTCATTAGCTTTATATGTAATAAAAAGTAATTTCTTTCATTTCTGAAACAAAGTAGAAAAATTTAACATAGAAGTATTTCCTTTTTTAATCAATATGGAAAAGATATGATTACAAAGTATTTTTGAACTNGAAGAAGATCGAAATAATGACTTTAGTCACACACACGTCGCAGCTCGTTTATAGGGTGAACCGATAAATAGATCCATTCATTCATCCACATATCGTAATTTTGACCTGAACCAGAAAATGATCAATCTCCAATTCAGTACCCCTAGAGGTATAATTTGTTATTGGAACATGGAGGGCGTTTTGAACTGACAGGTTTTAACGTGCACCAGTGTGCAACCGGCACGCACCGATCACAGTGCTGACGTAAAATATCCTCAGTAGTAGATGGGTCATGGGTTAGAGTCCCCTTGCCATCACGTGGTCAGGCAGGTTTGAGTTTTTCATCTCCTTGTGCGGGCTAGTTCCATAAAAAAAGTCCTCCACGAAGGCAAATTTCTGCCAAAATTTGATCCAGGAGTTCCCTTGCCTTCTGGATTGAGTTTAAAATTACAAGGCTACGGAGTTGAGCATTAGCAGTCGTAAAAGCAAAATTAGGTCGGCTGTTCAACGACGGTTATAAAATAAAATATTTAAGCTTAAGTTGAGTGGTAGTGGCTTAGGGGATAGAGCGTTCGCCTTCGACTGTGAAACGGTTTCGAATCCCAGCGATCACTTTTTGATTCGAATTCTGCACTCGTCTTGCACTGAGTACAGTACTGACGTAAAATATCCTCAGTGGTAGACGGATCATGGGTTAGAGTCCCTTTGCTGTCATGCTAATCGTGGGAGGTCCTCTCTGTGTAGCGCAAATGAGGGTTAGTTTCATCCAAGTCTCCCAAGAAGGCAAATTTTTCCTAATACTTGATCCAGGAGTTCCCTAGTCTTCTGGATTGAGTTTAAAATTACAAGGCTACGAAGTTGAACATTAGTAAGTCGTAAACCCGAAACTGGGTCGACTGTTATAAAATATAAAATTTAAGCGAATCGAACAATTTTGAAACTCGTTCAATCTCAATGCAAAAATTAAATTTCTAGTTATAACAAAAAAAAAATTTTAAGGCCACCACACAAAATTTTCATGAAATCGTCTAAATAGTTTCTGAGTAAAAAAGTTTTAAAAAAAGTCACATTTTTGAATTTTCATTTCTCTGATTCCGTTTAAATATTTAATATGACGTTTAAAGCAGTGTTATTAAAAATGATATATAAATGTGTATGACTTACTATGCAATATGTTTTTTTTTTTTTTTTTTTTTTTTTACCGTTCTTGAATTTATAAATAAAAAATAATAATTATAAAAAAAATTTTTTTTTTTACACCGAAACTATCTTGGGTAAACAACTTTAATATTTTTTTGTGGGGAAAAAAAGAAGACTTTTTCCTTATATAAACAAGCGCGAAACTACTGTAATCAATACTTTTTTTTTCCCTTCATAGTTTGAAGTGTAGCGAGTAGTACAGTATTTTGTAGCTATTCCTGGCAACTACTTTTAATGTTAGTTTAGGTTCTAACTAGGACTGGGCTATAAATCGATATATCGCGACATATCGATTTAACGCTTGTATCGGCAGGCCGATGCAGCGACATTCGTTCCAGGCGATGCATCAGAAATCTGATTTAAGCCGTCGAGTAAAGAAGACGAACGATATAGCGATACAAAACACGCAAGGATCTCTTACGTTCCGATGCCAACTCGCACTGGGGAAGACGATATTCGTATCGTTATATTGAAACGGCCTTGATTGATGAGCGGTAGAATCAGAATCAGTTTTGAGAACATATATCGTGATCTCGCATGTTCGTTTCCGCACCTCTTAGTTTTTTTTTCCTCCTTTGTCGCGACTTGATATCGTTTCTTGTAGATTATTTTCAGTGGTAAAAATTAGTAATGTTTGCGATTGCGACTTCTTTTTTTAAAATCATTTAGCACTTCGTTTTATTAAAGAGTATAATCGTGTTTTTTAATTTTCTTTCAATATTGTCAGTTGAATATGTTATCGAATATCATAATTCTTTCGTTTTCATTTTTAAGAAATTAAACCTTACTTTGTTTTTTCGTTCAGAATTCGGTCATTATTCAATTTAATTTTATTATTTATATGAAATAATAATGATAAAAAATAGTGTTGTTTTGAAAGTGTTCTTTTTTTGTAATTTATTTAGCACTTTGTTTTAAGCATACAAATAATTTTTAACGAACTTATTTTTTAAATTTTCTTTCTATATTGTTTGGTAAATATATTGATAAATTTCAATTTTATTTATTTTTTCATTATTTATTTTTAAACTAAGAAATCTTTCGTTATTTGCGCGATCATTTTTAGAAAATATAACATTAATATCATTATTAAGCAAAACATATACATCAAATTCATAAATTGATTTAAATCAATCTGAGTATGAAGTTTTGATAGAAAACCGACTTTCTGCACCTTACAAGTAAATGAATTTCAAGAATACTATATCGCGATACATCGCTATATCGCGATGCAAAACTGACGATGCATCACGATATAAAATTTCTTTTATCGCCCAGTCCTAACTAATTTTTCGAATTAAATGGGAACAAATCTTCGCTGGTCTGTCAATTGATGCAATGAAATGACCCTGTAGCTACAGATGAGATTTAACAGAAATTACGTATTTAAAATCACATATAATTAATACTTAAATTAGCCATTACGAAAAATAGATAATTAATCACTTTAGTGACACTTTCAGTAGCGAATGCTCACTCGATAAACATTGATGTTGTTTAAAAGTAAAAGAACGTATTTTTGATGTACTTATTTCCTTAGAGGTAATTAAAAAAAACATTAAATTAAAAAATTCCGAGTATTTGATAATTTTGCATTTCTTAAATTAAATATTCACTGTCGGAACAGGCATAAAAATTTGGATGTTAAAAGAACAATTTTTTTTTTATATATAACAGTCTTTGAACTGGCGACTCAATTTCAGGTTTACGAACTTGGCTTCAAACTTAAATATTTGCAGAGATAAGCTAAAAAAGCAAAAATCGAAATTAGAATTAAAGGGTTTAAAATTTTGTTCACTCTTCTGACTTAACTATTGGGGGCATATTTTAAAGGTAGCGTGGCTATCATCATAATTTAACGGTCAAGAATGAAAATCTATCGTAAAAAAGCTATGAATATTCAGTGAAAGTACATTTCTGTGTTTAATTCTATACCCTAAATTATCATCGCAAATTAATTAGCTCAAGGAACTAATTGTGCAAGTTGAAATCTTTTTAACACAGCAATTAAAATCATTTATCTAAAAAGAATTTGGTGCAAAAATGAATCGAAGAAAATTTTTTTTATGTTATAATTTTCACGTCATGTAGCAACAGAGAAAATTTGAATCTACAGGGTACTTAGCCAAATCTTTCAACAAAAAATACGCACCCTTTATGTACTTTTTAAAAATTCAAAAAATATTTTTAAGCACTATATATACTAGCAAAATACATTACCCCATGATCATGATAGAATAACTAATTTCTAACAAAAATTTTTTTTCTTAATTATATTAGCCACCATAAAAAGATCGAAAGATTTTTTGGTTCGATTTCAGAGGGTGGAAAATGAAGCCTGAAATAGAGAATATCTTGCAAAATGCAGCAGAGTTGCACATAAGAGTGCAATAATCTCACACCAAACCCAGCTCAGTGGACAAACATGCAGACTCTCAAGTATTTCATCATATATGTAAAATGATTGGCTCTTTCACATGCTACGGACCGACGGAATGCTGAAATGGATTGTGGTTTAATGAATTGTGAAAATGTTCATAGAACAATGTGAAAACCACACTTTTTTCATAATATGTGGCGAAGATCGACACGGTAAAGAAGAAATAATCTCATTTTTGAAAAGGGAATATTAAGCACCTTTTAAAAAACACCCAATGAAAAAAAGCACATCTAAGGCTTTTAAAAAACACTGCACACCATTAAAAAAAAGTTATTCTAATAATTTTTATTCACGTAATTTCTTTGAAACATTGGATTTTGTTAAACACAATGTAAACTTTTCTAACGTACTATAATTCAAACAATTCCGATCTCTCATCATTACTGAATTAAATAATAAAATTATATAATTATTCAGTCGATATTATTTCATACCAAGTTTTAATGAAATTTGATTATTTTGTTAATACTAGTACATCTGATTTGTGTCATCCATTATCTGAAAAGTAATTTTTTCTTATTGTGGAAATAAAAAGTTTAAAAAAAAAATTCTGTTTTATAGAACTCATTTAAAACTAGACTTATTTCAGTAAAAAGTGAATAATGGTAGAAAAGATTTTTTTTTGTAAAATGCTAATAAAAGTAGGATTTTTTTTTTTACGAATACACTTTTAGTAACAATGTCGAAAAATACTTTTCATAAATTTAAAGCTAGCTGTCTTCTTAATTATTAAGAAGCAAAGTTACTATTGTGAACAAATTAATAATAGAAAATAGATGCAAATAATAGAAAATTGATGCAAAGATAGTTGCAAATAGTTGCCTATGGCAACCCTGTTTTTACACTCAATCCATTTCAAAATGACAATTAAGTTATACTTTAGAAAATCGTTTTTTTTTACATACCTATTAAATTTAAGATAATAAAGAAAACTTCATGACACCAAAAACTGGTCATAAATACCTAAAAATATTTATTAATGTAAAAAAGAAATTGCTACAAAAATACAAATTTTCATAAATAACAAAAATCTATGCTTAATTTGTTGACCAAGGAATATAGGGTTGCATATAATGCAACAAAGATGTTGCATACTGTTGAATACCTCTTGCAGCTATTGCAGAATATGTGCTTATCTCTTCCCACATATAAATTCTAAAAAAGGAAGAAGAAAAAAAAGAACTAGTTTTTACAAACATATACATTTACATGAAATTTCACTTTCAACAAAAAATAAAAGAGAAACCCTTTCTTTTTGTAATTAACTTTGCTTGTTTTACCTACCGACCTTCACGATTACTTGGTAGTCAATTAGTTTCTTGATGAAAAACAGAAACTGAAACAGGGTGCGTAGTCAAATCTTTCAACAAAAAATAAGCACCTTTCAAGTACTTTTCAAGCACTCAAAAAATATTTTTAAGCACTACATAAATTAACAAAATGCAATATAATATTCAAAGACTTTACATTATCATGATAAAATAATTAGTTTCTGACAAAGAACTTTTTTCTTGATTATATTAGCCATTAAAAAATGATAAAAAGATTTTTCAGTTCGATTTCAGAGGGTGGAAAATGAAGCTTGAAATTGATAATATGTAGCAAAATGCAGCAGAGTTGCACACGAGAGTGCAAGAATCTCACCGAACCCAGCTCAGCAAACCTGCTAAATTATTGGCGCTTTCATACGCTATGGACCGATTGTACAATGAAATGGATTGTGGTTGAATGTTAAAACCTTGAATAGAGCAAGGTGAAAAGCACGCTCTTGCATAATACGTGGCGAAAATCGACATGGTAAAGAAAAAAAAACTAATTTTCGAAAAGGGGAAATTAAGTACTTTTTAAAAACACCCCATCAAAAAAAGAGCCTTTAAAAAACGATAATCGAAAATAAGCACCTTTAATCACTTTTTAAAAACGCTTTGCACCATGTGAAAGTAGAAAACAATTAACGATCAAGAAACAAATATTTGAAGAGTACTTTTTGAATACATTAACAAGTCTCCCACTAGATATATAGAGAAAAACGCATTGGAATAAAATGCATATCTTATTACAATTAAATTGAATTTAATATTGCAACAATATATTGGATGTTTATACTTACATATGATCATTAGACTGAATAGAGAGAGTTATATCTCCAGCAAAATTCCAAAGAAGAGATAAATATTGCAATACGAAGGATGAAAGGTTCTTTAATAACACACTCAAATTCTCTTTCAAGTAAGGGATTTGCTTTTCAATCTAAAAATGAAATAAATATTAACTTCATTATTTGAGTTTAAACATAACATGAGGAACTTATTCATTCTAAGAACACAGTAAAAACAAATTATGTAGGATTAATATCAAAATATTTTTCAACGTCATTTAAAAACAGTATTAAAAATATATATTAAAACTAAATACTTTTATTACAGATAATACTTTTATTACATAGATAATAAATATTTACAAAAAATTACTTTTTGTATGGATAAACAAATTTTATAATTAAGAGCAAAATTTTTTAAATTCAATAAGAAAGTTTTTGAGTTATAGTTAACTATGCAAAAAGTAAAAATTAACATTAAAGGGTTCAAATTCTGGAGCAATGACCAAACTATTGGTCCCAGATTGCAGCTACCCCCATATTTTGGGGGTCAAAAATTTAAATCCGCCAGAAAAAAAGTTCTGTTTATTCAGAGAAAGTATGTTTTTTGCATCTTATTTCATGACTTAAAATATCATCTGTACTTATTAATTAGCATAATTGAGGTTAACCCCAACAGCCATTAAGATTGAGTCCCAGAATGCAAAGATCCAATCATTAGATCAAAATTTATTCAGCATGGTCCTTTTTGTTTTTTCTTCTTCTTTTTACATGCTGTACATTAGTATGATGAGTGGGTATATTAGTCAAAAGATCAAAAAAGCTTTAGCTAGCAAAGACAAAAGGATAATTTAATTAAAGTAATCCAATAACTGTGAAAAATTAAGAGTTTTTTTTCTTCATTTTCTAAAATTAAAGAAAATGGTGAAAAAAATGACTTTTCTCTCTCTAAATATAAAAAGAAAAATGCCTATGCCAACATTTTTTTTTTATAAACTACATACTTTCACAGGTGCTTAGCCAGATTTTTCAACAAAAAATAAGCACCTTTTAAGCACTCAAAAAATATTTTTAATCATTTTTCTAAAAAAAAAAAAATAATTTTACAATTAGGATCTGTGGAAAAAATTATTTTTTTCCATCGTTTAAAGTTCTTAATTTACAAACATAAAAGCAATAAAATTTAGAAACATTTTAAAAAACTTAACACAACCACGATAAAATAGCTAGTTTCTGATAAATAGTGTAGAGAAAATTGTGAAAATCATGCCTTTTTTGTAATCTAGAACGACAATCGATACAGCAAAGAGAAACTCTCTTTGTAAATGATAGAAAATTAAGCACTTCTTACAAACCCCAAATAAAAAAAGCACCTTTAAAAAAATGAAAATCAAAAATAATAAGCACTCTTTAAAATGCTACACATACTGTTTCATTGTAGAGATTGCAAGTGACCAGCACAACAATTAATAAAATATCTTTTATTTCAAATTTAAAATCAATAGAAGTTCTTACTGTTTCCAACATTGGGGGAAACTGCTCATTGCACCACCTCCTTAATGTTGATGTACTATTCCACATATTATACATAATGTGGGAGAGTTCCTTCATAAAAAGTTCAACATAAGGCAGGAATGTTGAGTGGTACCATTCAAAGATAGCTGGAGTATAAATCTCAAGAAGCCTAAAACAAGCAATAAAACATCAATCAAAAATAACTAATGCTTATTAACATACTAGTTTCTAGTCGCAGATCAAGGTTGTTAAATGAAGTAATTTTTAAATACCGTACAGCCGCTATAGTAGACTCTGCAATAGGTTTAAATATCAACAATTTTTCACTAAATTAACCCCTAAACAGTGACATATATTTCAGAAAAATTGACCAAAAGTAGAAAATATTTTCGATTGCTTAATTTTGTTTTTTATATTATTATAAAAGTTAGAAAATGGTTTTTATTACAAAAATAAAATTTTAATGCAATAATTACTGTATTTATAATTTTTACATACACATAAAAAAGTAATGGATTGCACACACGTTATTCAATTAGTGCAAATTAAACAAAATTTCAAAGCTAAATATAATATAACTAGTATAACATAATATAAAAAACACAACAATATGATTTTCAATACATAAATTTTACAAATCTTTTACAGTATGGTATATCCCAAAACACAGCACTGCACACAAGCCCATATCGCACTTTTTGCATCACCCACATTTTCCCTTCCTCCATAAAACAAAGAGGTTGTCTAACGATAACAAATATTTTAAATGCTTAATTTTTGGAATCTTTTAGACATTTATCTTTCTTATTTCCTTCATTTTTGAAGAAAGTTGCATTTAAAATTTCTCTGCAACCGATTCTCTCTCCCATGCGACAGTTTCAAGCAAAATTACTAATTTTAAACATTATAGTGTGCATCACTTCATTTTTTAATTAAAAATAGTAATTATATACTTTTAAAAGTATCACTTAGACAAAGCATTTTGTTACATTTATTTAAACAAGGGTGCATAGCCAGATTTTTCAACACAAAATAAGCACCTTTTAAGCACTCACAAAATATTTTTAATCACTTTCCGAAAAAAAATCATAATTAGGATCTGTGCAGTAACAAAAAGTATTTCTTTCAATCGTTTAAAATTCTTAATTTATAAACATAAAACCTTTAAAATTTAAAAACTTCACATAATCAGGATAAAATAACAAGTTTCTGATAAATATTGCAAAGAAAATTATGAAGGTCATGCATTTTTTGTAACTTAGAATGACATCAATGCAGCTAAAAAAAAAAAAGAAAGAAAGAAATTTAAGCATTTTTTACAAACCCAAAATAAAAAAAAGAAGCATGTTTAAAGGCCTTTAAAAATGTAAATCAAAAATTAGCACCTTTAAGTACTTTTTAAAAATGCTACTCACCCTGCTAAATAAATATAAAAAGAAAAATCGAGGATACTCTATAGGCAAACTATAAATTTCTTAGCTGTTCACTATATGCATATAAAATAGAACAAGTTAAATAACAGTTCAGACAGAACCGCTAAAAATCTTCATGAACCAAGTGTTAATTATAGCGTAGATAGACTGTATACATTTTTATTAAGAACAGGTCAATATTCTTGAAAAAAATAAACTTTGCAGCTGGATTGTTGAGCTGTGAAAATGAAAGATTTAATCTTGACAAAAAATATAAAGCTATCTTCAAATTATATTAATAAGTAGGTGGAAAATGCACTGCTGTTTAATATGATTTCATCTCATTATGCAACAATAAGTCATGAGGTAATTACATTTAACGATATACCATATTTAAAGAACACTTTTAAAATAATAAACTAGCATTTAGAGACCATTTATTATTGATATTTAATACTTTATGATTTTTTATATTTAATTATTTATAAAATTTTATTTGTTACCGTCAATGACCAAAGATATATTGAATAAATATAATAATATATTGAATAAATATAAATATATTGAATGAATACAATAATATCAACGAAAAATTTATTCGTTGATATTATTATATTTATTCAATATTTTAAAATTTGCTGAAGATAGATTAAGGGAAACATCAGAGTTCAGAGTACCCGCTAAATGCATATTGGGCAGTGGTATTTGATCATAAAAAACTGAGCAAATGTGTACCGGCAGTAGCACTTAACTAGACCTGATATATATTACGGACATTTACCAAAGCGACTATGTGATTGTCAACATTCACCGGTGGAAGTCAACAACCACCAATTTCGTTTATTCACAGTAACATACATACATACAGATTATTTACATAATGATTTCTTAAAAATAATTATTTATTCAAAAAGAATTATTCTGAAAAAAAAAATCCTTGAACTTATTCCCTTTTTTTTTAAAACTTTTGCACTGACTTTCAGGGGATCTCCAACCAAGGATATAATACAATGATGATAAAGTTTGAATTTTTGCAAAAGGTGATGTCTAATTGCACAAGAAAAAAGTATGATTTTTAAAGGAAAAAATTTTAAGACCTAAATACAGCAAAAATTTATATAAGGAAATACAACAGAAGATAGAAATACACAAGAAAAGTTTTAAAGCATAAAAAAAAATTATTATACTTCAGAATTCTTTTATAAAAGTATGTTAACTTCTCAGCCACTTGATTGCAAACAACGATAAGACCTGTGTCTTTCATGAATTTTCCAGTAAGGGATTCTAAAAAGGAAACAATACCATTAAAAGAGAATTAAAATACACAAAATTTTAATTAAATAAGATTGTGAAACTTACTTAATACATGAATTTTAATAGAAATTCATAAAAAATAAAATAAAATTAATATGAAATAAAATAAAGTCAAAAATTTTATATAGTATTATTTTTCATAACTTAAGTTAAAACAAAATATAAAAAAGTGATAAATATCACTTGCAATATTAATACAAATTTCAATTTGATTTTTTTTATTAGAGTAAATTTCAACAATCATATAGCAGAAAAAAATCAGAAGCTTATGAAATAAGCAATCGTGATTTTTCCTCACTCGTTTTCGTGGAACTTTTAACAGAGTTTTAAAATTTTCATATTTCTTTGACCTTCGACTGTCGGGATATTGATGAAGATGATTATTATTATGGAGTTGAGAATTTAAATTCACATATTTCAGTAATTAATTTTAAAATGGTATCCTATTTACACAATTTTACTGCTTATTTCATTTTAGCGGTAACTGCTAGTTTTTTTTAAATCCCCAAAACACATATTAATTATTACTTTACGACTTAACATTTGCAACAATTTCACAGTAAATTCACATAGTTTTGTAAATTGCTTTTTTAGCAGTTATTCCTACGGATTGCAACATGACTTTGAAAACTGATTTTTTTTAAAACAAAATTATTATTGCACACAAATTTCTGTATCTTGCCTATTGTTTTAGCTATTTTTTTTTCTTTTACTGAGTTGAAAACAAAATGGCCAAAATTTTTGGAGGTTTCCACATTTTAGAAGTTTAGATTTTCAAGATTATACTGTATACATATTTTGCTTATTTTTATAATACCAATTAGTACTATCTTCTACAAAGCTCTTTAATTGTGAATCACAAAAAAGGCAACAAGCTAGTACAATTTATACACAGTAGCAAAATAAATAAATAAAATAGGTAACACCCAAAATAATATCTAATTAAAATCCAAACCAAGGTGCAAGCTAAAAGTAAAGGTTCAAAGGGTGTGCTTTAAATAATGGATTAATTAACACTGACTTTTAATAAAGGCAGAAAGTAAAATAAATTTTCTTTTATGCATTATATACATATTTATGTAGTTACAGATAATAAACAGCATTGCTTTTCTACCTTAATAACTGCAACACCAGTTTTAATTTAAGCATGTTATATGTACAAGCAAACAGTAGGCAATAATTATACTCTAATTGCAAAATTAAATCCCCATAAAGGAAACTTTCTATCATTCATAATCTCAAAGCTAAAAAAAGATCAATAGAAAATAGAAGAAAGCAAAAATTTCAATAAGGATTATCGTGAAGAAGTGGCATAGTTACAAAAACAGAATATTGACTTTTTTTTGAAATTAAAAACAAAGAAAAAATAACAAATATTAAGGAGATAAAAAATAGTGCTAATCCAGTTGCTTGCATTCTAACATCAAACCAATTCTTAAAACTGAGAAAATTTTATTTTTGAAAGTATTCCAATTGAATACATTTTCATTATTCTGACATTTTAGCAACTGTATTTAAGTTCAAAAACAGAAAATTCTTTATGAATAAGTTTAAAATTGTAGAACATTGGGCATAATTTGTTTATTCTTTGCTTAAAAGAATTATTTTGAAGTTATTATAATAATTTTAGTTCAGTAGAGTCACAATATTCTTTGTCTTCCATTTAACCAAAACAAAAAGCAAAAAATTACAAAGTTTTTTGAAAAATTTATTTCAGATTAAAAGTTTAGTCAAAAAAAACAAGTGATATATAAAAAAAAAATTAAAGTCAATTCCTACTTAAGTCAACAAAGAAAAATGTTATTTTAATTACTTTATATTAAATAATGAAGTTAATATTAACTAATATTAATTAATTAAATATTAATGAAATTAATTCATTAAATTTAATGAATGAATTAATATTTGAAAAAAGCTGTATTAACATCAAGTGTCATTCACTACATGTTTAAAAAAAGGTACAGTAGGGAACCGATTATCCGGAACGATTGGGACCATCGCTATTCCGGATAACTGATTTTTCCGGTTTTCTGAATCGCTACAAAAAGCCGTTTTTTAATTGTTAAACCAAACTAAAAAAAAAAAGAATATTTGGAAATAATCTTAAAAAGAAAAAACGATGAAGCAATACACTAATGATTACAGCGCACTCCCGATCATCCGGGCTAATCACCGGGACAGGTCGCACGGACAATCGAAAAACACGGAAAATCTGAAATCTCACTTTTATTAAAGAAAAAATCCATATCTGTACAAAAAATATAAAATTACTGACATTTGCATGCTGTATGACATCACACTAGGAATTTTCCTTTCAACATTTGATGCTTAAAAAAATGTGTAATGCGCCATATATTGACACATATTTTACGAACAACAGTAATGTCACCGTAATCAAATCCTCTCATATAATCTTATAACGTTTCCAAAGATTGTAGAGCAGCAGAATGAGAAATTGTATTTCCCTCATTTACTACATCAGTTACTATCATCACTATTTGATTTAGCAAGTAACGAATATACTGTTCTGGTCCTCGATTTCTAGGGTCGGTGGTCTGATGGACCTTGTCTGGCATTTGGAGGAGAAGCCACATCAACAGCAACAAGTAACGATGTCTTCATCTGTCAAAAACTGGAAACCAAGCTCACACTTTGAAACCAATCTTCTAAATTTTCTTCATCAAGAATTTTGAAACTTTAGATTTATTTTACTTGTTCGAGAATACTGTTATCATATTCTTCTTCAACATCTGAAGAAGATTGTTCATCAATGATCTTTCTCCACGATTGTAATAAAGCAGACGATTTTACCTTTGACCATGCTGCTGATATTTCATATACAGCAATCCAATAACGGATATTGTTTTCCAAAAATTTGGTAGCGTTATAACTTTATGAATCAAATTTTTTTCATCTTGAAAACGTTTCTATTTATATAATTTTTGTGTGACTCCGGAATGAGCACGGATAATCGAGAGTGTACTGTATTTCCAAAATTATGGTAAGGTAAACATCTTTAAAAAAAGAATGAAAAATCCTGAAATCTTGTGAGTAAAAAAACATTTTTTTAAAAAAAATGGCGGAAAAATGCATCAAATTTCGTTCCGGTTTTTTGGTTTTCTGATTTCCGGAAAACGGGTTCTGTACTGTATTTGAACTTGAGATAAATAAAAAGTATTTTAATAATGATTGAAAATTTGAACAAGATATAGTGAGAGTGTGAACTAATAGTAGGAATTGGAAAAAGTGAGGTGTTCGAAGCTTCACTAATGTGCAAAATTAATTTCAAAGCTTTGTAATCACACTTTACATAATTAAAATGAGAAAATAAATTTACATACTGTTAAATGTGCCATGTATTCCTACATCAGCAATTAATAAGGTAGAAATCAGAAGAATAAATACACCAATCACTCGTAGCCATGAAACTCTGCTAGAATTCAACTTTGTGAGCAAATCCTAGATACAAGATATAAATATTAATCTTTTAGTTAATAAAAAAACACTTTATTGGAAGAAAACACGCAGTGAAACGCTTCGAAAAATATATTAACTTTAATTCTGTCATAACATTTTCAAAAATATTCACTTGATATTTTGATAGGTATTAGATACTTGTGATAAAAATAGTTAACCTGACAATAGATAATTATTTTAATGCATGAAATAAATTTCAGAATATAAAAGTGTTTATTTCAAGTATGTTCATAATGTAATTTTAATTAACTTTCGCATTTAGCACATTTTTTATCAAATAAAATATTGGAAAAAGAGGAATAAGATTTTCAAATAATAAACTCACTTTATTGATAAGAGAGCATTCTTCAACATCGTTGGATTTCTTTGAGCTGCTCATTAATTCTTCATTTGTGACTTGAAAAACAGAGAGTGTTTCCCTAAGAGGCTTTCTAGGTAAGCTAGATGGCAGCACATCCCACTGCTCATTCAGGTGAGCAATAAATAGTCTAAAAGAAAACATAACTTGTGAGAAAATATAATAAATATAAAGATTATACATTGAATAATGGACATAACAGGGATCCAGGGCACAAAGTTCAAAGCAAAGGTCATGGGTTCGAACCCAACCGGCCGAACACTCCCCATGTAGTAAATGGTGACTGGTGCACGTTAAATCTGTCGAGTCTCAAAGTCCTCCACGTTCCCATAACAAATCAATACCTCTGGGGGTACTGATCCAGGAGTTTCCTTGTCTTTCGGATTGGTTCAAAATTACAAGGACACGGAGTTGAACACTAGTAGTCGTAAACCCAAAATTGGGTCAGCTGTTCAACGACGGATATAAAATAAAATAACAGGGATCCAGAGCCGTGATGGCTCAGGAGATAGAGTGTTCGCCTTCCAGTGAGGAGAACGGAATTCGACGGTAGATCGAAATAGATTGTGATTGAATGAATAGTGATAATATTTAACAGAACATTGGTAAAAGCACGCATTTGCATAATATGTGGCGAAAATCAACATGGTGAAGAAAATAATCTCATTTTTGAAAAGGGAAAATTAATCACTTTTTGAAAACACCCAATGAAAAAAAGCACCTTTAAGGGCTTTCAAAAAACGAAAATAACTCCTTTAAGCATTTTTTAAAAACGCTAGCACCATGAAAATGGTAACTTTCGAACAGAATAAATAAGGGATATACGGACAAAAAGATAAAAACCAGGACAAAAATTATTTATCAAGAATATCAGGACACCTACTACCCTTGATATAGCTGAACTGGAACAAATAAAAACCTTATTACATGAAAACTGCTATGTTACATTTTATTTAGTCACCATTCAATTAGGAACTATTTAAAACTTAATATTTGATTTAAAAATTTACCTGAAGAAAATTGTCAGAAATTCCAAAAAAAATATAAAGATTTAGATTAATTTATTAAATACAATCAGCCTAACTAATATTTAAAATGGCAGATTTTATCTAAGATTATTAAAAAATTTTCTTCTTATTTGAACTTAAAATTTTTTAATTTGCACACTTAAGCAATAATATTTGATGCTTGTTAATTTATAAAAAAAAAAAATTTCTGGACGACAATAAATTATACTAAAACAAAATGAATGAAATGGAAAGATAGAACTTTAGATTTACAGCATTCAAAACTGTAATCTATAGTAAAATTAAATAGTTATAAAAATTTTATATCTGTTTAACTATAAAACTATAAACACTATACAAATTCATAATTATTAACAACCTAAATGGATCTTACTTTGATTGAACAAAGTGTTTTGTGTAAAGTTGTCGCCATACACTGAAGCAACGAGCATCTTTTCCTAAGCAGTAAACAAGACTAGATAATATCTGAAATAAAAAATGATATTCAGAGAAATACTTAAAAAGTAGAAAATAAATTCAATTGCAAAAACTTATATAGAACAGATGAGAAAAAGAATCTTACTAGCATAATTTATGTCTTGAATATGCCAATTTAATTTTTTTTCTTTTGTGGTCATAAGTAAATTTCTCCTAAATTTCTTAATACAGAATTATTACTTTATTTCTTAGTTAAAATCATTAGTTAATTACAGAAGAAAAGTTAAGAAAAAAAGTAAAACAATAAAAATAATTATTGTGTAAAAAAAAGAAAAAATGGAAGATAGACCATAATAGAACAATTACCTAAAATAGTAATAATTTTCAAAAAACTAAATTTGCAAATGAAACTTCTGATAAAATTGATTAAAACAAAATTAATGGTCGTTAACAGCAAAAACCCTCCGGCCCAGGACAGACACTCGCGAGAGAGACTGCCGGCCTTAGCGATAAGCGAGCGTTTGCGCTTCCCGCCGTGAAAGGATTAAGTTAAAGAAAATATATGAATGCTTACATATCAAACTTTCTTTGATATTGAAATATGTCTAATTTTCATAAAGCAAATTCGGAAACATTAAAATTATGACTTAAAAAACCGAGCTATGGATTAAAACTTGTAAGACAAGAGTGGCTTTGACTACCACAAGAACAGGGTTGACATGGTGGTTAACTTTTTTAAAATCTACAATGTTAATTTTAAATAATTCTTTTCTGTTGCCTGCACTTCTAATGCTTTAAAAAAGTATACAACATTTATAATAAATATCAAAGTACAAAAATATTTCATATAAAATTATACAGAATAACATTGTAAATTTTTAAAAAAAATTCAAATTTATTAAAGAAAAAAAGGAATGAGAATAAATTATACTACACACTATATAACTATCAAAATAATTTATGAAATATTTGTGAAAAAATATTATAATAAGATTGAAAAATTAATCATTGAAAAGTTTTAAATAACTAACTACTTTAAACAAAAAAAAAAATTTACTTTAGGAAAAATTTATTTCCTTTACTCAATTTCTATTAAAATAAGACATATTATCTTAATCATTATTTTTCTTATTTAAGTGGTTCAAATGTAACAATCAAATTAAATTGATTGATACAAAATGATTAAATCAATTTTTTAACTCAATCTTTCTATTTAACTTGCTGACACCCTGGTTGTAAGCAGGGGTCTGTCTAGATTTTTCTGTGAGGTACCTATTTCGTGAAAGTTTAGACATAATTTGTGAAAATTAAAAATTATAATAAAAAATCAACAAAAAAATATGGATTTATTGTTTTTCACGCTATATAAAAATAAAAGTTACTGCCGTTTTTCCTGAAGTTGAATTTGTGAAGGTACCGCTAAATGGTAGTAAATTTGGCCTAAACAGACCCCTGGTAAGAGTAACTTAAATGATCATTATCAAAAATCTACATTGTTAAAATATAGGAAGCAAATGTAATTTTTGCCCTAAAAAATGAGTATAGTTTGTCTATGACAAGAACTACCCCCACCACAAAGTCTGAGGCTGTCTGCTGCTATGAAAACAAGAATGGCACATTTCAGGGAGGGTAGCTTCTCTTCAAACGGGAGAAAAATATTAGCTTTCCTTCACCGACCAGAACCAAAACCTGTCCTAAACAGTGACCCCACAACCCTACTTGAAATAGTTATACCTCGTTATCGCCACGGGTCCAGGCTAGAGGAGTTCTTACTTTCAAAAAACTATAGTTCTGTTACACTAAGAACATTTATTTTGTTTCTCAAAACAATTGCATTTCTGATAAATTTCAAATTAGTTTCAATATTAACTTTCAATTTTCAATGCTCATTATATAGAAAATTAAAAGTTAATACAGTAGGGAACGGATTATCTGGAACGATCGGGACCATCGCTATTCTGGATAACTGATTTTTCCGGTTTTCTGAATTGCTACAGAAAGCCGTTTTTTTTAATTGTTAAACCCAACTAAAAAAAGAAATATTTGGAAATAATCTTGAAAAAACAAAGTAATACACTAATGATTATTTCCAAAATGATGGTAAGGTAAACATCTTTCAAAAAAGAAAGAAAAATCCTAAGAGGGAAAACAAATTGTTTTAAAAAAATGGCGGGAAAATTTATAGAATTTCGTTCCGGTTTTTTGGTTTTCCGGTTTACTGATTTCCGGATAACGGGTTCTGTACTGTACTAAAACTAATATTAATACGATTGTGAGGATATTAAGTGAATAAAAACTCCTACAACAACAATTACCAGCAAGTAGATAAGCTGATATATTAAAAGGTGCATACCCAAATTTTTCTACAAAGAACTTTTTTCTTGATTATATTAGCCACCACAAACAGATCAAAAGAAACAACAAAGAAATTTTTTATTTTAGCTACTTTATTAAATAATTAAATTTTTTTCCCATATAAAACTAAAGTTATTTAATTAATGAATTAATATTTGAAACAACTGTATTAACATCAAGTGTCATACATAACAAGTTTTAAAAAAAATGTGTTTGAACTTGAATAAAAAGTATTTTATTAACGATAGAAAATTTGAACAAGATATAGAGAGAATGTAAAGTAATAGTACAGGGTACATAGCCAAATTATTCAACAAAAAATAAGCACATTTTAAACACGCAAAAAATATTTTCAAGCACTTTAAAAAAAATCATAATTAGGCAGGGTTGGAAAATTTTTGACAATTGACAGTTTTATCTTGTTTTAACCATCATGTCAAAAAAAAAANAAAAAAAAAAAAAAAAAAAAAACCATTTTGGTAATGTTTTTGAATTATTGTTCCGAAATTTTGAATCATATAAAACGAATGGCGTTTTCATATGCTACGGACTGACTATACGCTGAAATAGTTTGGGGTTGAATTAAATGTGAAAACATTGAATAGAACAATGTCAACTGTGCCTTTTTGCATTATTTGAAGTGAAAATTAACATGGTAAAGGGAAAATCTCATTTTGAAAAAGGAAAAATTAAGCACTTTTTGAAAACACCCAATGAAAAAAGCACCTTTAAGCACTTTTTAAAAATGCTACGCACCCTGCAGTAGGAATTGAAATAAATAAATAAATACTGACCTCTGATTTCAAAAGTTGAGAGCACTGAGGTTCCAGTCTACGAAGATAAGAAGGGAAGTAATTTCTTAAAATATTTTCTGGTTCACATCCATAACTCAGCAGCTGAAAAATTATGAAACGATAAATCACACAAAACAATAATATACATATTTTATGAAAAATAATAAAAGTACAATACAGGGCTCAATAATTGTATTGCTCAACATGCCCGGTTGATCAGGAATGCATGAATTCTATCATTACATGCTTAGAGGGTATTTTAACGTTTATTCAGAAATTACATAAAATATCAACTAGGGGCCCTTCTCAAATTGATAAAAATTGCCAAGATGTTGAAAGAAGTGCATAAATGGTACCAAAGGGCTAAAAAAGGAATAAATAAAAGAGAATTTGCAAAACAAAAATAGCCTATTACTTTTTGTTCCACTAGTCATGCTTATTTCATTAAAAAAAAATATGCTCAACACTGCGCACAATAAATAAAAATTACAAAAGTTGAAATTGCAGTGTGATATAGCAAATGTCTGAAAACTTGCAAATAAATATTAATTATTTTCCACCAAAGGAAGTAGGCATATTGAAATTTCTGATAATTAATATTTTTTGTCAATAATAATCCTTTACTTTCGCTCCATCCTTACTTACTTGTGCAAAATAACCAATGAACAATGCAAAAAAACTCCATCTGTGCTGTTTCATATGAATTCTTTCTTTCATAAGCAGAAAGATAACTTAGCTGGTGGTCACCCACATATGCTTACTTTATAAAAATATAGAAGACATATTAAAGAGCTTAAGATTGTAAGAAATAAATTAAGTGATGCTCCTTTTCTCATTTTTGTGCAGATACCAGATATAAACAAAGAATATCTTGCATTTTTTCATCTTTTTGTATTATATTTTCATAAAATAACAGCAAAAAAATTGTAGTTTCCTCAAAAAAGGAAAAAATGTATAATAGACAGACGCAGATAATTTTAAACTAGCGCTAAACATAAAATTTTTATACCTTTAATTTTAATATTTTGATGGTAATCTTGTTATTATAGTGAACATCTTGCAATATACTGTACTTATTACATCAAGCTTCGACTGTATTTAATATATAACACATTATACACAGATTTAAATTTTAACAGGGCGTGTAACCAAATCTTTCAATGAAAATAATAACCTTTTAAGTACTTTTTTAGCACTCAAAAAATATTTTTAAGCATTATATACATTAACAAAATTCAAAATAATTTTCCAAGACTTTACATGATCGTGATAAATAACTAGTTTCTGACAAGGGACTCTTTTCTTGATTATATTGGCCAACAAAAAAAGATTTTTTTGATTCCACTTCAGAGGGTGGAAAATGAAGCCTGAAATTGAGAATATCTTGCAAAATGCAGCAGAGTTGCACATGAGAATTTTCCGAACGCAGCTCAGTAGGCGCACATGTGGACTCGCAAGTATTTCATCAAGTAAAATGACTGGCGTTTTCATGCGCTACAGACCAAGGCTACGCCGAAATGGATTTTAGTTAAATTAATTGTGAAACCGTTGAGTAGAACTATGTGAAAACCATGCTTTTGTATAATATGTGTTGAAAATCAACATGGAGAATAAAAAAATACCATTTTTGAAAAGGTAACATAAAGCACTTTTTAAAAAACCCCAAAGAAAAAAGCAACCTTTTTTGATGTACAAACATATGTTTTTAAAAAAGCATTAAAAAAATTACATGCTACAAGATTCAACAGGCTCTTTATTGCTGTATTTGATAAAGGGTAATTTATTTACTTGGAATAAGGCTAGATACAAAATCAAATGGTAACAAACCTTAAGAGTAGGATAGACAGTCATTAATCGTTTCTGTGCACCTTTTGGTAACTCTTTTGAATGTATGAAGTCTAATATTGGAAAGAAGTCTCTAACGTGTATAATGTTCTTCTTGAAACCAGTTTTATTCACTTTGCTGTAATATTAGAAATACAAATGAATACACACTAGAAATGGTGCAGAATAAACAAAACAGTTTTATACAAATAATAAGCCTGCTTATTTTTTAAAAAAAAATATTTTAAATAAATACATTTTCTACTATTTTTGTGAATTTTGTTAGTTTGAATACTGCTAATTGAAAAAAAAAAGATAAAGTTTTCTCACATTTGTAACAATTCTGAGTGTAATTGATAATGGGAATTTGTATACTTTAAATGGACATAGATTGGCAATTTTCTTATCATTCATACAATTAATTTCTTTTAAATTCAATCTTTACATAGAATTAATTTCAACAAAAATACCTAAGTAAATAAATTAGGTCCAGCAAATTTGAGAAAAAATCACAAGAACTCTTAATGCTTAAAATAAAATAGACAACCACTAATTCCATGTTTTGTTAGTTTGTAAAATAAGTTGAGTCACGTAATTGTTGAATGAGTTAAAGTTTCTCAAACATTATTTTTATATGCTTGCTTGTATTATTTTTGGGTTGCATCATAGCATCCTTCAAAACAGAGGAAACACACAATCACTCTGCTCTTGTGTGACAGCTATATTGGGCTAGTTTTATTTAAGTGCTGGAAAAAGCACAGTTCAACATACTTGAACCAAATAATGCTATAGTAAATGAAATAGTTTAGTATAGCTGAAATATCATCCTTAAATATCCCATAGATTGTGTCTGAGTGGTCACCATTTTTTTTTAAAGAGGAAAATTAGAAATAAATTTTTCTCTGCATTTTCCCTGTTATATTAGGTCATTCCCTTTATTTTCCAGGTTTTCTCTATTCTCCCTGTGGAGTTGAAACCCCGTTTAATTTTCAGTGATCAACTATTTGGATAAGGACAGATAATTTGATCAAAAATTGCAAGCTACGTGTATAAGATTTTTATTCTTTGGTTACAGGTGCAAGGGACAACTGAATATCATTTTCTGCTTGTTCAAGTTATTTTTTGTCAGTTTTGGATAACCGGATAACACTTATTACACCACTACTATTAATTTTGAACCGCCTTAAAATCAAATAAGTTCTTTGAGTAGTGAAAAAATGCTCCAATTTCACAAATAATACCTAAAATTTCTTTAAAAATATACTTAGCTTTGTTTGATCTATAATTTTAACAATAAAATAACAATTATAGGTAACACACAATAATTAATATTTAAGCAAAGAAAACTTGATACTTAAAACTACAGTTTTTAAGTAATCTTTAAAATCAAATAAGTTCTTTGGGTAGTGTAACAAATGTTCTAATTCAACAAATAATACCTAAATTCTTTCACTATATTCAGAATCCTTAAATGCTTTTCCTATAAGATGAATACTTAAACTTTGCTTGATCAATAATTTTACCATAAAATAACAATTATAGGTAACACAAAATAATTGATATTTAATGAAAGTTAGAAAACTTACTTAATTAGAACTTAAAAAATAAATTGTACAGAAAATTTTAAATACTTTTTTTATTTTTATATGCTTAACATTCCTAAATATTCTCACCTTACTAGTTCTTCTACATACTCCAAAGCATAAGAAGGACAATTTTTTTCTCCTATCATTGGAAACATTAGTTGAAGCCAAACTAGAAGAGAAAAAAATTAACACCATATTCTCATTTATTTCAACAACATAATTAACTTTGATTAACACAGACTAAACTTTACACTATTGAGTTATTGGGAACTGTTGCATGAGAACATGTTTTGAAAAACTCTTGAATGATTAAAGAATATGACTTTCAAGCAAATGCTAATTTCAAAGCTTTGAATTATAAATGCATCACAAAGTCTCAGAGAATAAAATAAGCGATAACAATTTAATTATCTGCTTTGCTAGAAAGAGCACGACAATCCATGTGTTTTTGCTCAATTATGCACTCTTGAATTTTGAGGTGTGTGATTTAAAGTTCCCCTAGTATATGCAATGTACAGACCATGAAACTTTTAACTCATTTAGGACAATGATCTCAAAATTTTTTTTGACAGTGAGCCCTTATAATCAAAATAATTATAAATTGTACCCATTAATTATTGTGTGTGTGCAAAAAAATATTCTTTTTTCGGCAACGGAAAAAAATGCAGAAAATCAAATATTTTTTTTTTTACTTATTTATCTTAAATAAAACCATATATACATATATAAATGCAATTTTTATAATTAACTAAAGCCATTACATTGCGTTTGCAAGGCTAACAGAGTTGCCTGTTAAAAAAAAAAAAAATCAACCCAAATTTTGCTTTTTAGTGATTAGTTTTGTACATACAAGAGGAAAAGAGAAATTTTCTGCAGTAAGAAAAATTAGACTTACCTAAAAGTTGATTGCAATTTTATGACAAATATTATGAAATATAATGCAATGTAGGCTTTAATAATCAGTTTTGTTTTTCAATGTAAGCTTTCATAACAATTTTATTTTCCAAAGTACCCAGCAGATGGACATGAAAGTGGACAAAAATAAAAAGGGCTGAACTTTTACAATGCAGACATTGGTTCTGGGGGGGGGGAGTGTTCCATGTAATACTGTGATATCTATCAATAAGATATATGAAAACATAACTTCTAACTCTGCCGAGAGATTTTTAGTTGAAATAAAAGTGACAGAATCATTTAGACAGTGAAATGTAAATTTTTTTTTCAATATAATTTTCAAGTTTTTTGACCACTACTATATCAAAGAAAATAAAGCAATATATAAGGGTTAATAGTGATAATTTTAAATTAATTGCCAGTCAATCATTTAAAATTAAAACAGTCACGAATAAAATTGTCAATAATTGTGATAAATTGTTACTAATAGTTTTAGTCCCTTTGACTGTACAGGTGCAGGAGTGATTGTGAACCTAAACTCAAAAATCCTGAAAATTTCTTGAGTAAAATCATTAATAACGCATTTTAAAAAATTAATGTCCTATTAAATCATTGATATTTTCAAAACATAAAATTCTAAATAAATTATATGCAGCATAATTTAAATGAACCATTATGTATAAGTTTACTTATACATAATTGTTCTAATCACATATAATAATTAATCTCTAATCACATATATTATTCTACCAGAAAAAATATTTATGAATGAAAGAGATGCAAAGCATATTTTTAATATTTTTGAATAAAATATACAAAAATTTTTATTTATAAATGTGATCGATGATTTCTTTAAACTTCTGGACCTTGAATTTCCGTAAACTTTCTGATAGCGGTTAGCAAAAAATTCGGATTTCGTCCGGAGGACAATCATCTTTGCAGGTGCGCAAATCCAATACGCGTCCCACCAAGGAGGAAAACTCCCGATCAAATATTAGCAGCCAAAACGAAACTGTTTAGAACTCAGCAATGAAGAATCTCATTCTTTCCCTTCTACAGCGGATGTTGCGTTTGGCAAGATGACGATGCACCTGGAGAATATCCACCCATTTTCTATCGACGATCATTTTTTCGCAGGAGGCTATTGCAGGGGGAAAAATTTGTTCCAAGTACGGCTATCGTTCAGCTTGAGTTTCGACAGCTATTTGAGAAAGGGGATTCTGCATGGCTGTCCACATGTATAGGGAAAATCTAGTAGATTTTACAAAATGATATAAATTTCTTGATAATTTTAACAAAATGTACTAAATATATTACACTTATGGAATCTTAGGCATTTTTATAGTCATCAAATAAGAAAACTGCAATATTTCTCAGTCATGATTTAAATGAACTTGAAATGTTATGCATTATTTTACTCTCATTTTTAATAGTAGTAGATATTCAATTCATCAAAGACAGCTAACTGATTTTTATAAATGAGACTCACTTCTTTACATATTAGTAACACTTATTCAAATGTTCAAGCAAGCAATAATCTGCACAAAACTTTTATTCTAATAGGGATTTTTTAAGGAAACTTACTCAATTTTAGGGAATTTTCTAAAGTGCACAAAAACCAGGAGAATTTTTATTAAACCAGTAGTAACTGGCAAAATCCAGTAGTCTACTGGAAAATCCGGTAGAGTTGGCAGTTACGGGCTCTGTAATAATTAAATCCCCCCAAAAATTTTGTTTTCGGTACATTGTCAGAAATTTTAAAAATTGGCAGAAAAGAGAGAATTTCCGCTTTTCAATGGAAGTGTTTCATAGAGCAGAATAGAACAGTTTATAACTTGGAAGGACTTACTTTGAAAACCAGTTTCTAAATCTTTATTCCCGATCTGACCAGCAATCCACCACAACAAGAGACATATATTCTGTCGATTTGAATGGGCATTACAAAGTTCCGAATACTAGTTCAAAGAGAATCAATACAATTAGTTAATAACTGACATTTATATTCTGTAAAAATAAATAAATAAATAATATCAATAATAAACCTAAATGCACTAAGATATAAGCATTTGATGTCAAAGTAAATGGCTTTGTGATCCCACAATAGGCATTACATATATCCTAGCTTTTAAAAACTCGTTAATTTCTTAAACTTATTTTTTAATCATTCACAGGGGTGATTGTGAGCCAACTCAAAAATCCTGAAAATTTCTTGAATAAAATCATGAATGACACATTTCAAAAAATTAATATCTTCATGAATTTAAATCATTGATATTTTCACAACATGAAATTCTAAATAAATTATATGCAGCCTAATTTAAATTAATAATTATGTATAAGTTTACTCGTATCTCTACTCATTGTTTATTCTACCAGAAAAAATATTTACAAATGAAAGAGATGCAAAGTATAAATTCTAGTTCTAATATTTCTAAATAAAATTTACAAGAATTTTTATATATAAATGTGATTAATGATTTCTTGAAACTTCTGAACCTTGGATTTGCGGAAATTTCAGAATCCAGATTTTTTCCAGAGCACAATCATCTTTACATTTTTAATCGAATTGTAATTAAATTAAATCAATTAGTTAGTTTTTATAAAAAGCAAACATAAAATATTTTATTCTTTTCTTATCGATCAATGTAATGGCTAACTTTTTATTTCAATAATAATTCACTTAATCGAAAATAAAAATCTATTTACAACTTTTTAGTTATTTATTGCTTACCACAAAAATGTTTCGGTTACATGGTTATACTAATTTTCACAGTCTTGTTGGTGATCGGCAAAGTATTTTCAAACCTAATATTGATTATGGGGGTCGGCATTATATTTTGCTATGTTATCTTTCGATAAATCTCTAATCTTGGATCTCTTCCATGCTCTTAATTGTCCGATGGGAGTAATTCAATCACTTTTTAATTCCGCTTTTGATTAGGTAGGCCATTGGAGATTTATCTTCCATGGCCTGCCCTTATTTATATTATTATGCGAAATTTTTTTAACTTAAAGTCTTATCGAAAAAAATATAATTTTGTATCTAGAGCTCTACAAATACTACTAAAGAAAAGTTCTATTTTAATTATGAATCAGTTTTCATCGTCAACTGTTATTTTCATCACTATCTTCAATTAGTCAATTATAAAACTTCAACCACACCTAATTCAGTCATTATAGGCTTAATTATTTAGAGAAATTTAACTCTGCATTCAGTAAGAAAAATTACCAATACAGTAAACTGAATTAATTAAGTGAAATAAATTGTTATAATTACTAAGTGAAACATAATTTTTAAAAAAAAATTTCTTCAGTATAAAAAAATCCCATAAAAACATGCATAATAGAGTTCAACGTATTATGCCAAAAATTATTATTCAGAGAAATTTGATCAAGAGTGCATGTTTCAGACCAAGAAATTATCTGCTCAGTTGAGATATTTGCTTAAGAGAAGAACATGTGGAGAAATCAAATGTTGTAATCTGTTTTAACTATATTAATAAATATATAATTAGAAATAAAGAATAATATTGATATTCCTTAATCCTAATAAAATCATAATGTTTAAAACTCAAAGAAAATTTATTTTTCTAAACAAAAATTTTCCAATATTCAGTAAACTTCAAAACACTACATTTTTCTTATTATATAAAATTTTATAAACTTTAAATTTTTTTTAAAGCTTTTCAACACAGTTATGAAAATTATGAGATTCTACAAAAATTGTACACATGTATTAAAGCTTATCAACTTTTAATCTTAACTAAAATATTTCTCAGGATTGTTTCTTTATAAAAAAATTTAGAAGTAGTAACAGCAAAATTTCAAAGATTTTTTTTTCAATGAGAGTTTCATTCATTGATATTTTAAATCTCTGTTTAATGAAACAATAAATTTGAATTACTGTTGAAATTCTACAAAATTAGTTATAGATGATTGAATGGTACTGAATTTAATGCATTAGATGAAGCATGATATTATATATTAAAATTGGTCATTATAAAATATCCTGCATATTTAGTCACATTATTTAAGTGGAGTGAGATGGGTACAGTTAATTGAAGGTTTTACTGTACTTCCAAACATTTTCAATACATTCATACACTAATTTAATGCAAAATAATCCAGAGAAAAAGATACCTTTGAAAAATTGGATGACATAACTGTTGGCATTTCTTGAGCAAGACATTGAAGAACAGTAATATAGCCTACTATATGCTGACCTGAAAATAGTGTAGAAGATTGTTTTAAAAATTTGATTTCCAAAAATACTTAGCTAAACAAATTTATTTGAATTTTCTTACTGGCATAAATCGATATACGATTACACANTTAAACCATGGTTTAAACTGTCAAAAACTGTCACATGTCAAAAACCTGCCAACCCTGTCTGTTCCACAGTTAAATGGTCCTTAATCAAGGTTGGTCGCTCTTAGGGGTAACCTCCATTGACTTAAAAATATTATCGAGGATACACGATTTTTTGCAAACGATTTTATTTTTAGTAAGTGTCATTTTCATAAAGAAATGCCATTTGTGTTGGCATCTTGAAAACTGTATTGATGATTAAACTTAATGTCCATAAAAATGACCCCTTATTATGAGTAAAAATGAATTTAAGAATTATGAATGATAGAAATATTTTAAATAAACAATTAACCTTTTTTTTAAAGTTTGTATTTAATTTTAAGTCAGAAAAATTAGCTTTAACAAAGTGAGAAGAAGTATATTTGCTTAAAATGCTAGGTTATTAATATAAGCTGTTAGTTTATAAGTTATTTTATAACTTAAAAACCTTTCAACTTAATGAAACATTGAATCTGAGATAAAAATTGCGATTTTCTTCTAACATTAAAATTTTATGCTTCCTAGCAAGACAATATATCAATTTTTATGAGAAATTTCCAACTGTAACCAGATAACTTCAGCAATTTCTTAACACTTTGTAAATTTACAATACAAAAAAAGAATTACAATTTTTCCTCAAAAACCCTGTAAAAATAAAATGCAATTATGATTCAAAGTAAGTTAATCTTGATGCTATAACATCGTCAAATTTCATGCCAACTGAGGTTATTACATGACATTGCTGTTTTCATGTTTACTATTATAGAAGTTCATATTTACCTTTTAATCCATCTTGAACTAGTCCATTTAAACAAAATTCATGAAAGATTTGAAGAGTCTGAGGAGTGCAACGATTATAAGTCTTTACAATATGCTTATAAACACCTTTCTTCAGCAATGAGCATGGATAACCTAAATTAAAGATAGCAAAATTTAAAAACACCTGATTCAATTTGATAAAATTAAACTCATGTGCAGACATACAGAAGGGCAGAAATACATTTATCACTGTATAATTGTTATTTTAATTGATATAAAGAAATAGAAAGCATCTCGGTCAAATGATAAAATGAATTAAAAGTTTCTCAATTAAAGGATAAAAAAATAATTAAAAACTTGAAAAATTATGCATGTAATGAAATGTACAGATAAATTGTATATTGCATTATGTAAAAAACTATAATTAAAAAAATACAAGTATAACACAAAACTATGATCATGTGTAATGTGTGCCTGAAAACTTTGTGTGAGTAGACTTAGGAAATAAAAAATAATAATTTAATGTAATAATAACAAATGCAATAATAATAAAATAGTAACAATGAATAAACAAAACTGTGCCTTCAATGAAGTGTTATAATTTTATCCCTTTTTATTCTTTCAAGGAGACATTATTGATTCCATAATTAAAATTAGTACATTATGATGATAATTCAAGGTGTAGATCAAAATTTTTCATCAGAAAATAAGCACTTAAAAGATATTTTTAAGTATTTAAAATATTTATAAATACACACACATACATATATATTGTAAGATTTAAGATATTCAAGTACAGAAATAAAAATTTAATCTCTAGTTTCTTGACTTCATTTTTTACCATAATAACATTTCATGAGCAATTTCAAATGTATTTAATATAGCGTGGCATACTTTACTTTTTATCCAAATTACAATAAGTTAAACTTTAATTTAAAAAAGTTATTGGGAATATTTTTTTAGATTTGAACAAAAAATATTTATCAATATATATATTCAGCAAAAAACATTTAGAAGATTAATACTTTTGATCACACTGAATTGTTTAAAATGCTTAGAGAATTTACCAAATTAAGGAAAACCTTAATAAATTCATATTCTAAACTAAAAACCACTATTAAATTTTCATTTATATTTGTAATTCTAAATGCTTAACAAATTATAATTTTTTTAAAAAATAATTTTGATATAAAAATACAAATGAGTATTAAAGCTAAATATTTTTGTCGGAAGTTCGTACATGGTCCCTATATTCATAATAATTAAAAGCTCTAGTCATCATCTTTAAATTAGAAAATTGAATTTTTAATCAAATGATAAAGAGTTTTTAGTTTGAAATGTCAAATCTGAATCACATAAGACTTCAAAGTGCAATTGCTTAATGTTAAAATAGTGAAAAGCCGATCAATTAGTTTTTTTTTTTAATTTTGCCTTTAAAAATTGTTGAAGGCTTTTTTTTCTTCATAAAAACTGAAAAGTACAGAAAATTTTAATAACAAATGCAATAAAATGAGACTACAATTAAAATCTTAAAAATTTTTAATACTATCCATGGACAGTCCCTCAGAAACAAACTACAAAGATTAAAATAACTAAATTAATTAGTATCTTTATTAAATCAAATGATTAAAAGAGACAAAAATTTGAAAGTGATGAAGTTCAAGACCCACATTAAAATGATGAAGTGAATGAGCTCCACGTCAAATTTTAAAACTACAAATTGATCTATAAATAGAGCATTGCAAATTGAACATATTGATCTATAAATTACATATTGATCTAGAAAGTACATATTGATCTATAAATAGGGTANCCAAGACCCACATTAAAATGATGAAGTGAATGAGCTCCACGTCAAATTTTAAAACTACACATTGATCTATAAATTGAGCATTGCATATTGAACATATTGATCGATAAATTACATATTGATCTAGAAAGTACATATTGATCTATAAATAGGGTACATATTGATCTATAAATAGAGCAACACAATAACTTCATCATCATGACTGTTAAGAAGACTATGGCCTTTACGAGTGAAGAAATGAACAAGAAACTTTAATTATTTATTAAATTTTTTCTCTTACTATTGGGGTAAAAAATGTGGTAATTTTTTTCGTATTTCTTGGCGACATTTGAGATGGCAAAGAAAAATTAAGCACATTTTACAAATACTCAATGAAAAAAGCACTTTTAAGCACTCAAAAAAAATAAGCACCTTTAAGCACTTTTCAAAAATGTGGCGTATCCCTTAAGAAACTAAATTAAAGGAAATTATACACTTAGGAAATTCACAGAAGACTATTAAGAGAAGTCTAGCTCTTTTACAAAAGAATGTAAAATGTGAAGAAAAAAAAATTAGACAGGACATTGCAAAGCACAAAATTTTAAGACAAACCTAGAGTAAACTCTTGAAAAATAAATGATAAAGATAATAAATAAATAAAATATACAGAAAAAATATTTAAAAAATAGCAAATAATCAAAATAAACTTATCTGCATTAAATTAAAAAATTTACATCAAAAGATAAAAATGCAGGACATTCTCTTCTGTTTGTGGAAAAGGAATATTTCAATACAAATTTAAAGCGATCATGAAATTCAAAACAAAATCAAAAAGATGAAAAAAAAACTTGATTTAGCAATCAAGAAATGTACTGAATAACAATATTCATGATTAAATGTTGCTTACTGTTGCTGAATAGTAGAAAATTCACAACTATATAATAATAGTTTACAAGATTTTTTCAAACTTTTAACAAAAGGCCTGCCAATAGATCAACTGAACAGAAAAATATAACAATTGAAAAATGATCAAATTATCTTTCAATGATGGAATGTAAGTAACAAAATTTTACTTAAAATGAGATTTTGCTATTACATAAACATATAGCTATTACAGTCGGAGCTGTTTATCTCCAATCTCATGGGATAAGTGAAAAATTTGAGATAGAGGTTTCGAGTTATACAGATACTTTAAAAAAAATTATATTTAATTAAGAAATTCTATTAAAAGAGCTTTTACTGCTTTTAGAAGAAAAATAGTGGCATTTCTGTTAATTCATTACACTACATACATTTATTAATATAAAAAAATTTTAACGGGCATTTAACGCTTAAAATAATTTTTTAAAGATATCTTTGCTTCGATTATTCTTTTAAGATTAGAAAGGGTAGCAAACCCCTCATAGCCAACATTTTCCTGGGATTCAAGAATAGTTTGTAGGAGTTCTACAGTTTTTTGTATTCCTTTCTAGTTAAAGAAGTGCAGGGATAGTGATCAAAATTCCAAGAAATATCACCAACCTGTTCATTCCTGCTTCCTGTGGGTTCACAAAATTCATCTTTGTCTGCAAGTTCTACTGATAAAGAAAGTTTTGCCGTTTGTGCTCTATTATTGAAAATTCGAGAAACGGGGGCTTTGAAAAAAAAAATCGACATAAACAGGGAAAACAATGATTTTAGACAGTAAATGTAGGGAATTTTAGAAATTTTGAGACTTCAAGGTTTCCGAGATAAAGAGATTCGAGATCAACAGATTCAACTGTATTATTAAAAAAAAGAGAGAGATTCAAGCAGCCAAAACTGATTACAGAAAACTCAATTTAATAGAAAAACTTATGGCTTCAAAAAAAATTTATTAGTGAATGATCCAATTAATAACCAACTTCGAAAACTGTAAATTGCTTGTACCATAACACAATATTTACCAACTCGTGGGTTAAAGATTTTATTTGATTAATTTTATACATTTTAAAGATAGTATGTAAAAAATTTTCAACAGTGAGGGTGTTTTTCAACAACTGGAATGAAATGATAAAACTTAAATAAAAGAGAGAAAATCACAAAAAAGGGGAGTCACAGCTGAGGAAGAATCTTGGAAAAACATAGTTATTAATGTAAAATACTACCAGCAGGTTTTGAAGTCCAAGCAGCAGCGTCAATGGCAATATCTAGTTTGACATTGAAAAATGTAGCTAAATCCTTGAGCCAAAGTAAAGGAGAATTCGGAAGCAAAACCTCTAGAGTAGCTAAATGATTCTTAACATCATCTTCAGAAATCTATGAAAAGAAAAAAATATACTTTATTCAATATTTCTGAGCACTTGAAACGAAGGTTTATATCAATTCTAAAAGTGCTTAATACGATAAATAGCCGTTTAAACTTCAATAGAAAAAACAACGATAACAGTGGGCAAAACAGCAAACACCCTGAATAACTTTTAATAAAATGAACAGATTTTAATTTATTAAGAATCAATCTTACCCACTTTTAGAACGCAAGTGAATTACGCAAATAATATTTTAAACAACAAAATCAGATGCAAAAAACAAAGAAGTCACTTTTTTTTTTAATTTTCAAGAGCTAATTGATAGATTACTTTTAAATTTTTGTCATTTGAATCACACATTTAAATATTTAACTTTTCCGGCAGTTATTGCTATTGATTTCCACATAATTTTTAAAATCCAATATTTTTACAGCAACTGAATCTCGAAGCGAGTCTGATTCGTGAGATGCCACTGGCGATTTCCTTTTGGAAGTTACTGCTAAGTATATAGTAAAATAATGTAAAAATGTTTACACTTAAAAACTCAGATTTGTGTGCTCATAATTAAAACTTTATAAGAATGTGCAAAAATTTTTTGATTTTCTTCATTAGTACTGAAGATATGACAGAAGAAAAAGTAAAACAAACATTAAGTGGTAAAACTTTTGTGGGTTAAACTATTGAGATCACATTTTCTAGATTGCTTTTACATTACTCCTACTTATTTCAAGGGTCCAGAATCAGTCGTAAAAAAGTATGTTTTTTTCTTCTCATTTTGTAATTTAAAATATTGCCTGCACTATAGTATCTATAAACGCTTCAAACCATTTATGATCAAATAATAGTATGCGAAAATCTGATCATTATATCAAAAGTTATTGTAAGTGCTGGGATTCAAACATACTGCAGTACTGGCAATGGCACGATCTGTTGAGGAAGAGAAGTATTTTTGCCATCAATAGATATTTTACCTTAAAAAAATAAATTAATTTTTTTTAAAAATTTCGTTAACATATACGGGTAAACAGGAGATAGCTGTAAAATACAGGAGTCTTCGTAAAAGACAGGAGACTTGGCAGATATGTTAATAAAGATTACCTACTAATAATAATCTTCTTGCTAATCGTTAACAAACTTAAAGACAAATATAATTTATGCATTATTATTAATGTTAACAACTGTAAGATAAAATTTAGTAATCTGAATTAAATTTCTAATTTAAAAGGAAATAAGTCTAATTTCAAAGGTGCTAGAAAAATTTTATGAATTCTTAATCTGGATCAATGAATCTGCAGGTAATTCATATTTAAACTATGTATAGGTTTGCTAGTTTACTTTTAAAAAATCTATAGATAATTTTAAATTTAAAAATACAACAACAAATTTAAGATTTTTAAATAGTATTTCCCTTACACTAGAACACAAATCTTCTAAAGAAGTCTTGGCTGCAGGAGCTTTTTTATCCACCTTTTTCTTATGAGGTCCACTTTTTTCTTTACTTTTAGCTGGTTCATTACTTTTTTGTTGTTTTGGAGGTTGTTCCTTCTTTTCTTTCTCCAAAAAGGCATTGAAAACAGTCTTACTTTCTGATATTGGACCTATATTTTTTAAGAACATTAAAAATACATTTTAAGAATAGATAGTTTAGTTTCAAAACTGAATTTAAACTAATTCTAATGTAAACACATGAGATTGGAATAAAAAATTAATGACTTTTTCTAAAGTAAGAAACGAGAGTTAATTGGCTAATCTAAGAAAGGTTAATAATTAGACAATCTGAGAAATACTAATCAATTTTATTTTTATATCTTATAACTGTCGTTGAACAGCCGACCCAGTATTTGGATTTACGACTACTAATGTTCAACTCTATAGCCTTATAACTTTGAATTGAACCCAATCCAGAAGACAAGGGAACTCCTGGATCAAGTATTGAGAGAAATTTTGCCTTCATGGAGGACTTTTTGATGGAACTAACCCGTAGTGTTACATGAAGAGCAAAACCTCCCACGGTTAGCCAGACAACAAAGGGACTCTAACTCATGATCCATCTACGACTGAGGATATCTTACATCAAGAGTAGCTTTGATAAAATTATTAATTTTATTTTTATTAAAGCTACTTTTTCAATAAATCAGATGTTATCTATTTTTAAAAAAATCTATTAATTTAATTTGACAGTTTACACAACTTAACTAAATTAAAACAAATTTATAAACGATTAAAGATTAGTTCAATACTACATACTTATATAGTAAGCAATCAACACATAATAGCATACTCATTTTAAACATCAAAAACTGCTTAAGTAAATTTTCTATTAATGCTATTCACGAAGTTTTATTTTCTTAAATGTAATTATTATTTTTGCAATTAAAAATGTATTTTAGTACTAAACAATGAACAATATAAATTTATTAAAAAAAATCTTATACATTTTTGTAACCTCAAATTAGATAAATAATACAGTTTTTTAATACAGTTGAATTTGCATGCAATGAAAAAGAAAGAACAACCACAATTCTCTGGGTGAATTAAAAAGTTATTCAAATCATAATTTGCTAAAATTATCAAAATTAAAAACTATATGAACAAAACTTTACTAGAAAACATTTAAAAATGGGTTCATTTTATTGTGCTTTAGTAACTTTGGGGAATAAAATGTGCTACCTTTATACAGGGGGCGTATCCAAATCTTTTAACAAAAAATAAGCTCCCTTTAAGTACTTTTTAAGCACTCAAAAAATAATTTTAAGTGCTATATACATTAACAAAATGCAAAAGAATTTCCGAAAAATGTACATAATCATAAAAAAATAACAAATTTCTGAAGAAAAAAAAAATTTTTTTTTTTTAATTATATTTGATATATAAAAAGATGAAGAAGTTTTTCGGTTTTATATCAGACTATGGAAAATATAGCCTGAAATCGAGCATATCTTTCAAAAAGCAGCAGAGAGTGCAAGAATCTCACCAAACGCAGCTAAGTATACGCACATGCGGATTCGGAGGTACTTCATTAAACATGTAAAATGATTGTCGCTTTTATAGGCTACATACTGACAGTACATCAAAATAGATTGTGTTTGAATGAATTGTAAAAATTTTGAATAGAACAATGTGAAAATCACACTTTTGCATAATACGTGGCAAAAATCGACACAGTAAAGAAAAAAAGTATTTCCAAATATGGGCAATTAAGCACTTTTTATCAACACACAATGAAAAAAAAAGCACCTTTAAGGGCTTTTTAAAAAAACGGAAATTTAAAATAAGCACCAATAAGCACTTTTTAAAAATGCTACGCTCCATGCTAGATTTATGAGCCATTTTTTGGATATTTCTCAAAGTAATGGCGCTAAATATATTATCTCTATCGCTCCTGATGGTGAAAGTAACAATTTCATTGCGAAGCCTTACACTATGTTCATGTTTTATCCTTTCCAAAGAATTTAATTATTTTACTTGTTATCAAGGTTGTCCATTGAATAGCTAATTAAACATATGATTTACAATTGATCGTAACAAAAAATACAAGCAGGCACATAAGCAACAGAGAAACAAGCTTGTGTCTTCTGGTCGTATATATTCTGAGTCATTATACAATAACAAACAATTTTTATTTCATTGGTTGCCCTGTGATTAAATGCATACATGGCAAATCTTCAAATAATACACACAGTTCATAAAATAAACGATGCTGTTAAATGCTTTCAAAAGGAATTTAATCTTCTTGGACGAAGATAAATATTTTTATAACACTTTATTTAAGTATTTTTCCAGAAGATAATGCAAAATTTCTCTTTAAAATTGAGCAATATTCAAATGAAAGTAATTTTATAGGCATTTTGATAATAAACTTATTCCTAAAAAAGTTGGCAGTCAAGTTGTTGGAGGGCTGCAAGAAACTCAGGATATAACATGCAGTCAACTTCATGATTTAATGCATTAATTTTTACTAGATTAAAATCCGTTTGTGACTTTAGTGAATATAGTTATTGTGAACAGGTACTGATAAGGAAATATACCCAAAAATTTCTTCCTTGAACCTGAGATCTTATTAAATCAGGGCTCCTAAAACCATAATAATATTACAAACACTTCCAAAATGCAAAAATGACCGCATTTAAATATGTTGCCTTATTATTAAAACGAATATGCACCATATCCAAGATTCCATTATAGATTTATTGTATCTAATAATTAATAAAGAATATTTATTACAAATTCCAAAGAAACGGTTGCTATATTTCTTATATTGTACACATTTGTAGATAGCAATCAATATACTAAAGAGTATTTTAAAGGAAACTTGTTGACTTGTGACCGATTTACCTGCTGTAACAAAAGTGGAAACTCCATTTGATTTTTCTTCTTTTTTAACTTCTTTCTTAGTATTTTTAGGTTTCTTAGCTTTTCCACCAACTACTTCCCATTGTCCTCCAGCCATAGTACTCAAACAAAATAATCAAATTAGTTCAATCAAATACAAATTATAATTCAATTATAATTAGCACTTTCCTCTTCTGTCATTCTACGGACACGACAACCAAACAGATGAACTTTAGGTTTCATTCGGTAGATCATTCTGTTTAAACTTACTCAATTGAATAATTCGATAGAAATGTTAAAGGACTGGTGAAGTATTGCTGATACTGACTGGTGAAAATTTTTACTTTACGAAATAGAACTGATAAAACTCGTGTAAACTATACAACACAAGGTGATATTTCGTACACGTCTAAAAAAAAATATTAAAACAACACCCATGAAAGGTTGCCAGACGTAATAAAAAAAACTATTAATATTTAATAAAATCAAGTTTAAAAAAAAGAAAATTTTCAAAATAATTCACTACATTTAGAATTGAAAAGGATGACATTAATTTGTTGAAAAACTTAAGAGTGATTAGAAATGTGCAGCGCAGCTACGTCAAAGCCACACCATTCAATTCCAATGATAGTTAAAAATTGAGAAAATTAACTGTAACTGGTCCCTTCTTGAAAATCATTTGATAAATAAAAGGCAATTTAATTGTCCTTAAAATTTTTAATCACTTCAAAAATGTATCTCAACTAGTGAGATCCACATTATGTTTTAAATTTTATTCTCTTAAATCTACTTATAATCCTCATATAATATAAAATGGCTGAAGGATACAAGAAAGAACAAGTTCGTGATGAAAGCAAACCTGAGGAACTTTCACCTCTCTCCTTACGTAATAATGAAGATGTAACTAATTGGTCTTACTATCATAATCATGCTAATGAATTCTCATTAGATCTTTCATACTTGAATTTGGATGGAATAACTCTTCATCAAAATTTCGAAATATTCAAAAAACCTGAAGAAAGAGATAAAGATGAAAAGAGAGAAGTACATTTTATGTACATTCAACACAATAGACTGGATTTTATTCCCGAAAATATCTACAAATTTAAAAATTTACGACACATTGACTTGAGTAATAATTATCTATCGGAAATAAATGAAGCTATATTCGAATTAAAACACCTGAATATATTAATCGCTCGGAACAATTTTCTTGGTGATTATTCCTTACCAAAGAAACTAGGTTCTCTACCTCATCTAGAAGAATTGAATTTGAGTGGAAACCAATTTAAAACGATACCTCCAGAAATTATAGACATTCAAAGCTTGAAATCATTATACATGGGTAGTAATCAGTTAGAAGATTTGCCTAGAGATATCTGGAAGCTTGAAAAGTAATGTTGCTCTTTATTTCTTCATTCCTATGTAAAGTACGTTCATATTTTTAGTTTCTTCTCTAAGATAAATTCAGTGATTTGTAATTATATTGGACATTTAATTTAAACGCATTGTATTGGTTAAAAACTGAGGCTTTTTTTATTTATCAATTATTTTTTTCTTTTTTTATATAAGGAATGAAGTTGAAAAAATGTAAACTTAAAATACCTTTTTTTACTTTATTTACAATATTCTAAATTATCAAAATTATTTATTGTTAATTAATGCATGATGAATAATCTTATTTTGATTGCACTATTTTTTATTTTCTTTTTGTAGTACTTCTCTTAATTTGTAAATAAGATATATTATTTATATTTTTACCAATACATGAATTTGATGCATAAAATAAAATATGTTAATTTAAAATTTGATGAATCATATTCAAATGCTTAATGTCTTTTTCAACAGGGTTAAATAATTTAAATTTACTTTCTTTTTGATAAAGAATTTTCTTTTTCTTATCATTGATTAATAAAAGTTTTTTTTAAAAAATATTGTTGAATATAAAATATACAAGGCTAAGAAATTTTGAGTTAGTGTACATTTTATATTGTTAATGTTAATATACTCTTAGTATATTGCTGCATTAATAGGTTTGAATTGGCAAGATTTCATTAATGAATTGTTTTAATTTTAAGCACTTGTGGAAGGCATTTTAAATATCTTATATTTTTAGACTTTTCAGAATGCTATAAAGAAGAAAATGAAAGTTTAATGCCTTATATATATATATATATTAATCNGATAATTTTAACCTTTTTGTAAAAGTTTAATGCCTTATATATATATATATATATAAAGAAAAAGAATGTTACAAAATCTAGGATTTAAAATTTTTACCTATTCTTAATTTTAAAGCAAAATCTTCAAAACCACACTTTATTTTGTATTTTTTGAATCTTCAAACTTTATGCAATAGTAAAAAGAAATTACTCTGATGTTTAAAAAGGAAAGCTGCATTAAAATTAAATTTAGTGTTTTCCTTTTTTTTTAAAATAAATCTATGAGGTAAGTTATTCCATCTGAAATTATTTGTCTGATTGGTATTAAAATAAGTGTTTGTGTAAAGTAATACAAATTATTTTGTCATTTTAAAATTAAAGATTTGTTGAATTCTTTCATTTTTATCATGAACTCTGGATTTTATTGATTTTTATCTCATAGTTATCAGTATGNACTTTATGCAATAGTAAAAAGAAATACTCTGATGTTTAAAAAAGAAAGCTACATTAAAATTAAATTTAGTGTTTTCCTTTTTTTAAAAAATAAATCTATGAGGTAAGTTATTCCATCTGAAATTATTTGTCTGATTGGTATTAAAATAAGTGTTTGTGTAAAGTAATACAAATTATTTTGTCATTTTAAAATTAAAGATTTGTTGAATTCTTTCATTTTTATCATGAACTCTGGATTTTATTGATTTTTATCTCATAGTTATCAGTATGGCTCTTTTAGTCTTCCTTGCATACCTTCGATTTTAATTTTCATATTAATGTTTGTTTCTGTTTATTTTTCATAATTTTTGTAATTACTTTGAAGAAATTTTAAAAGTACCTCAGCGGAAAAGAGAAAGCGTGAAATAAATTTTAAGAATATTTAAATTTTTTTTTTTGTAGAATGTACTTATACTTTTCAGAAATTAAACACTAACAACTTTGGTGCCTTAAAGACTCTGTGGCAGAATCACAGCAACATTGGCTCTTTTAGCAGAAAGAATTTTTATTTGGAAGCCAAAATATTTTGTTTTCTTTTCTGTGAAATTTTTTGAAAGATTTTTGTTCTTCATGACATTACTTTCAAAATATGCAAATTTGTAGTTAAAGAATTAGTAAATCAATGTAATATATTTGTCACTCTATTTTTTTTTAATTTTATTTTTTTTGCATATTCTGTATTTACGTATTTAAGCATATTCTGTATTAACTTTCCACTGGGCATTCCAGTGATAAAATGATTTCTCTTGGATAAGTATGCAAATATTATAGTTAGTTCTTATTTTAATTATCTATTTATTTTTTGGTATAAAATAGGTATAAATTGCATCACTCCTTAAAACTAAATATAACTTTACGCTTTGATAATGTTTGCAAGCATTATTATTAGCATTATTTTTCTTAATTTTTGAATTACTAAAAAGGATCAATATGAAGATAACTGATGCAAGTAAATAGATAATACCATGTAATTTTATTATAGGTACATAAATATAGATAGATATTTAGTATATTTATTAAAGCGTATATAAATACTTAAGTACATAAAATAATTAAAAATACATAAAATATTTGGTATATGAAAGCATTTAAAATATGCACTGAAATATATACTAAATAATTGCTCAATTTACTTTGAAACTTAGGAAAACAAAGTATGAATTAAGTTACTTTGCATTTCTTATTCGTGCATTTGAAGTACAATTTTCCATCTGATGTCTTTGCCTCTCCCTTTTTGCTGTTGTATGTCCAATAGGATCGTATTCACTGCAGCAGCAGAGGTTGATTTTTTCATTTGCCGTCTACTCGATCTAACTGACCTTTTTTTTTCAAATATGCTACGACAATCTCACTTCGAACATACTTTATTGAAATATGCTCCTTACTCTCTTTTTTTTTTTTTTTTAAGAATTTTATACAAAATGTAAGCATTCACTACCTGCATGTCTATCATTCTTGTAAATAAACGCCAATTCCATTTTTGCCCCTTATTGATTTAGTGTGTGCAATTGTAATTGATTTATTGTCATTCCATCCGAATCCTGTTCATCAACCTCGGGAAGAATTGAAATGATAACTGCCTAAATTTGTTTGAGAACAAATATTCCTGAGCTATTGTAAGGAATCCCATCTGATTGTAAGAAATTTACGGGATNTGTACTCGCGTATGATTTCTTATTGCGGCACAGGTACTCTTTCCTTTTGCACCTTACACCACCACATTGTTTGCCCCCACAGAATTTGTTTATCCGAAATTTGTTGCAAATGTAATTGATTTATTGTCATTCCATCCGAATCCTGTTCATCAACCTCAGGAGGAATTGAAATGATAACTGCCTAAATTTGTTCGAGAACAAATATTCCTGAGCTATTGTAAGGAATCCCATCTGATTGTAAGAAATTTACGGGATATAGTATTGCATTGAATTGTTAAAGAAAAATACGAAGATTTGAAAAACACTTGCTAGGTGAAATAATTTACTAAAATAAAGGAAATAATATTTAAAAATGTCTGCTAATTCTATGTTTCACTTACTCTATCAAAATACAAACACGTATGCATAGTTAAATGAATAAAAACAAATTCTGGAAAATTCTTCAAAATTTGTCTGAAATTTCCAGTGTCCTCAATTGAGGACAGTTAAATGTAATGTTATATAAATAGAAAAGAAGCAGTAAAAAATTAATTTAGATTTATATGTTGAAATATACTCTTAAGAGAAAAACTGTAATAAATAAAATAATCTGCCTTTATTTTACTTGATATGACTGAATTAAAAGAAGAGGCTTGTGTGAGGCTAGAAAAATCACAAGATGGTGATTCAAATAACAAACCAAATATTGCAGCATATTTAATAAAAATATTGCGGATGTGTTCATAGTGCTGCCAACTATCTTCCCAGAAGAGAAAAATAGTTTTTAAAATAAAAATTTTACATAATGTTTTATTGACTGTCCTCAATTGAGGACAGTGAGCCTTAATGGATTAATATTTTACTTGATGCTCGAAACTTGCACTAATTCCACCATGCATATATATATTGTATTTTGATCATTTTTTAGCTATCATTGCTATGACTGGTTTTTTAAAATCTCTATCTTTTATTGCTAATATTCTCATGCCTTGGTTACGCATATTCTCAGTTTGTAATATTATTACAACGCTCCGTTTGTGCCAACATCATCGTAAATCCATGCAGAGTTTAGTTGCTTTTTTAATCAGTTTAAAGATTGTATTGAGCAAACAAATTTTAATACATTCATTTAACTTAACTTTCATTTAATTTTTTTGTACACAATCATTAAACTTTTTATTCAGTCTTTTTAATTGTTTTGATTATGTTTAGGTTGGAAATTCTGTATCTAGGAGGAAATAGTCTTAAAGATATTCCAGCAGAAATGGGTCGTCTTCATCATTTAAGATCTCTTGTTTTATGTGAAAATCAACTGCAGAGCCTTCCATCAACTATATCATGTTTGAGACGGTTACGATCTCTTTCCTTGCATAAAAACCAACTTACCACATTACCTCCTGAAATTGTTACACTAAAAGGACTGGTTGAAGTAATAATTAATGCTAATTATTATTTATTTGGATTTGCTTATAAAGTATTGAAAAACTCTAATTATTAATGGAACTCAGAGTTGGCATGGTCTGAATAGGTTAATCCACGGTTTAAACCAAAAAATGTTTAAAAAAATAATGGTTAATTTTTGAACAAGAAACAAAATGAAGACAAGTTTTTGCTTTATTAAAATAAATGTTTTATAATTTTTAATTTCGCATAATTTATCCTTATACAAAAGCATAATTTAGCAGTATTTTATGGATAAGGTTTTCAGTTTTGTTATCCAATAAGTTGTGCAGCTTCAAATGTTATTAATCTTTTCCTATTATATTATTTTTCTTTTAATAATTTAAAGTAAATAGTATAAAAAGTAACAAATATTTATTAATATATGTAATTATTATGTGTACATTGTTTACACATATAATCTTTTTACTAATGTTCAAAGTTTTAGACACTTTAAGACAGTTTTAGTCAGTTTAAGACAGTAAAACCTGCATGTTCTGTCCAAACCCAGTTTAGGACATCCAAAATGCCGACCCTGATTGGAACCTGATTCAATCCCAATATAATATTATTCTAGAGTTGTGATTTCTACTTTTTCAAATTTTTTTAAGTATTATTTTTCCGTTACATGTCTGAAAATGTTGACTCATGCTATTAAAATCGTGAAATAAAACTTTAAAATATTACACAGATTAAAATCTGCAATTGGCAATTATGATTTTTCTGTATGACTTGGTAGGAAATCTTTATTAATTTAAGTAAATTTATTTGTTTTGTCATTTTAGTTAAAGGTTTCTATGATCAGTTTTACTGTTTAATTCAATCATATATATATATAATATTTTATGTATTGATAATTTTAACCTTTTTGTAAGTGTTTCGTAATTTTAACCTTTTTGTACATTCTTTTGCTGAAAGTTGGTACTTTTCATTCTGTAAACCAAGGAGTAAAAGTTCTCCATATATTTTGACGAACTTTCGTCTTTTTATTAATCAAGGGCTGATTAAGATAAAGCAAGAAATTTTCCAAAACTAATAGCTAAATTAAATTAAGGAAGATAGGTAAATCGAGATTCAGCAGAATCATTTTTTGCAATAACAAAGAAATCATCAATAGAATTTTTTTTTTTTAAATCTCGAATTGTGTGTAGAGTTTAAGTAAACTGGTATTAGCTTAGGTAAAATAATTTTTTTTTATGTAAAAATTTTAATTTAAATGTTGAATGAGTGAAAAAATACCTCAAGCTTCTGTTTTATTTTAATAGTTTTTGATTTCAGAATCTTAACAACCTTCACTTCGGATTTAAGCAAATAATATATTATGTAATAAATTAACTATGCTCAAAATAGTTTTTTAAAGTATCATTCTTTTATTTTAAATTTTTTCTTTTATTTATTTTATTTGTTGTAATCTTATGCATACTTGTAATCCAGTTAAAATTCTATTTGAAGACTTAGATAATTTTAAAAGGAAATAAGCAAAGTTTGCTTTTCCTAATGCTAAAGTTTGATGTTTACAAAAATGTTACTTTTATTTTAACCATATTTTCTTATGTTTTTTGTGAATTTGTTCATACCTTTTATCTAATTCAAGGTTGTTGTACTAGCTTTGAAATTCTGTAACCACTCTTTAATCTTTTTTTCTTTTTTCCCTGCCGTCAAAGGAACAAAAAATCTGCCGATTCAAACAGTTTTTTTGTATTTTTTTTGTCCTTTTAAAACCTATAATATTTTTAATTGATTTATGAAAAAAAAAAGATTAAATAGAAAAAAAATTAAATTACTACTACTATTGAAACTAAAGTTGGGAATTAACTTGACTGACTTGATTAACTTATGTTTAATAGAAATCACATTATATAAAATTATGCTCATTTAAATATTTCTCTCAATTAGGTTATTATTAATTAAAATTAGTCAAAGCAATTAACTGATTGTATAAAATAAAATAAAAAAAATATACTTCAGTGGTTATGTCATTCGGGTCAGTTATGGAATAGAGCATGGTGAAAAAAAGGTTTATTAAATAAAAAAACGAGTAATTTTTTTCTTTTTTTAAATAAGTTTTTTTATTTTATGTTGAAATAGCTAGGATAAAAACCCCATGGCAGAATTTTGGGATATTTTTGCAGAAAGATTTTTCATTTGGAAAGGGGAAAATTTTGGTTTTCCTTTCTGCATAATTTTTCTAAAAAAAGTTTTTATTTTTATTTTTTAAAGAATCCTATTTGAGTTATTCCTGATCTTTATTTTGAGAGTTCTGCTCAGATTTTCTGATTTGTAATTTATTTAAGAATTTTAATTTATCATCGTTTAATTTTTTTACGGATTTTAATTTGTGTAATGATTTACAAAATTCGAGATTGTATTTTTCCACCTACAAAATGCGAGCATATTGCCTATAATATTTGAATTTAAGAAAAAATATTACTTTTGCAATTTAAAATTTTTTGTACATTTTTATTCTTATACTTTCTTCTGAAAATACAACATTTCTGTTACTTTAAATTAGTAATTGTTATAATTGAAAGAATCTTAAGGAGAAATATATATTAATGCCAGGCTTGTTGCAGAAAGCCTGAAGAAATTCTGCCACAAGGGATGAAAAGATTGCTTAGTAATTAAATAATCAAATGTTTCTGTTTGCGAAAAGTGCATATTTCTTTCATGTATCATATTTAAAAAGAAATATGCTATAAAAATCTAGTTAAAGTGTAGACTTTTTATATTCTAAGTCTCCCTACTAAGCTGTTATCTTTCATAAATTTAATTCATGTGACTGCAATTTATTTATTTATTTTAGTTCTAATTGGTGATATTTTTTCTTCCAGTTAAGCCTAAGAGACAATCCACTTGTGGTGAGGTTTGTCCAAGAAATGACCAATGATCCTCCTTCTTTACAAGAACTAGCCGCCAGGAGTATAAAATTATTTAAAGTTCCTTACAAAGACAGAGAGTTGCCTCGTAGTTTGGCTCTTTATTTGAAAAGTGCTTGTAGGTGTGTTAATCCTAAATGTGGTGGTATGTATTTCAAATTAATCATTCTTTAATAAACTCAGAATTTTGAAATTGATTTATAGAATAAGCAAATTTCTCGCGGTAATCATTTTTTAATGTGAGAAAAGAAAAAAATATGATTCTCGCTTTCTTGCGCTATAGTGAAAACACTGTATAAACTCAAATAAAAAAGAATAGTCTATAATGCTCGCAGAATAAATGTGTAAAATAACTACATATATACCTATTTTAATGAGTAATATAAATTTGAACTAAGTATTTTAATTAAAGAAAATTTATAGGGTTTAAGCAAGAACCAAAAATTTAAAATAAACTATTATAATGCATATTAAGATTCAATATTTTGTAAAGTGAAATTCAAATTTTTTTTATTGTTCAAAAAAAAAAAAAAAAAAAAAAAAAAAAAAAANAAAAAAAAAAAAAGAATTATATTATCGAAGCTTTATCCCATTAAAATTTACACAATTGTTATTACATCTTTATTTTATCACAAGTCAAACATCATAACCCACTGGCGGTTTAGCAAAAATTGGGAGAATGTGTGTGTGTTTCTCCCCTATCTACCATTTCCTATATAATAACTTGGAAAAACTTGTTTTGCTATGCGGAGAAGACTAGGTTAAAATACGACTTTTTACATGCCGAACCGTCGTTTGGTTAATAAGTTAATTAATGGCAAGGTAGTAAATAGGTTTTTTCTATGAATAAAAAATCATGACAAATTTTAAATTATAACAAATTAATGAAAAGAAAATTTGCTGTGATAGTTTTTATTGCCAAGTATTTTAAAGTCTGGAATAGTTGTTGAAATCTTCAATATAACGTTATCTTCGGCATCCAAGCTGTATTTTGTTTTTGCTGTAGCACACAAAGATCTTTCACTAAAGTATCATTCACAAGTTGTTCTCTTTCTTTTGTATGAAATTCGGTGATGTTGCTGTCTTGAAAAAGGTTTTAAATTCAAGATCCATTTTTATTTATTTATTTATTTTTTTTTTGAACTGAAAAATATTAAATAAAAATTTTTTGCAGATCTGATTGATTTACATTTTTATCAAGATTATTGTTATAGTCTGCTAAACTAATTTACAAATGAGGAAAGTATTCAATACTTGCAATCTGATTTTGATCAAAATTTCAATTTGAGTGGTGTCCATTTTAATTTGTACCATGAAAATAATAATACTTGTCCCTTGCTGCGATGTGTTAAGCTCATTGAAAGTGGTAGGAATGTCTTACTGAATCGAAACTGTGTCATTTAATTTTCGTGCCAATTGAGGTACGTGTTCGGACCAGAAAATTCTTTAATCTTTTAATTTGTAAAATCTTGCCAACATTTTGCCATGAAATAACCAAAAAAAAACTTAGTACGCAACAGTAGTGTTTTAAACTTTCCATACTTTCAGTAATAAATTGAAAAGTCTTTGATTTAATGGCCTTGATTTGATAAAATTTATAATTTTATGCTCACATATGAATCTTTCAAAAAACCTAAAGAATTTTTTTTTTAAATTCTGTCAAATAAGTGAGCACCTAAGCCAAAGAATTTAGACTAATATGTGACCTAATTCATCTTGATTAATATATTTGAAGCAAGTAGCTTCTACAGAATTTAATATTTTATTTTATCTATAAAATAATTATTTTATAGATAAAAATTATTATTAAAATTTTACTAACATTGTATTTTTTTGTTCTATCAGTTTTTTAAGAAAATAATAGCAACTACACTGATAGCATTATGCAAAAACTATGTTTTATGAGCTAAAAAATTACACCAGAAGATTACTGTGTGTGTTATCATATATGATTTAATAGTTTTTACAAGAAAAGCATTGCATTATATAAATTGCTCATTTAACTTGTTTCTACTTATAACAAATTCTAACATTCATTTCCAATTTTTGTACAAATTGAAGAGCTAACCAAAATTTTATTATAAATCAACTCTCCTCTTGGATTATGGCATTATATAATTTGTTTGGCTTCATTTAATTTAAAAAAAATTGTCAAAATTGTGTACTGTATCAGAGATGATTGTGCTCCGGAAAAAAATCCAGATTTCCGGATGTTTCGCTACCGGTGACCCGGAAATCCAAGGTCTAGAAGTCTCAAGAAATCGTCGATCACATTTATGTATAAAAATTCTTGTATATTTTATTTAAAAATGTTAGAACTAGGATTTATACTTGGCATCTCTTTCATTTGTAAATATTTGTTTATAGTAGAATAATAAATTAAATTACAGACAAATGTAAACTTATACATTTAAATTATACGGCATATAATTTATTCAGTATTTCATGTTTTGAAAATATCAATGATTCAAATTTATAAAGAAATTTTTTTGAGATGCGTCATTACGGATTTTACTCAGGATTTTTCAGTTGGGCCCACAATCACCCCTGCTGCATAGTAAATGAATTACAAGAAGAATTTTTTCCACTTATAGTTAATCCTGCCGAATTCCGCTTGTAGTTAATCCTGCTTATAATGAATTCTGCTTATAGTTAATCCTGCGGAATTCCGCTTGTAGTTAATCCTGCTTATAGTGAATTCTGCTTATAGTTAATCCTGCTGAATTCCGCTTATAGTTAATCCTGCTTACAGTTAATCCTACTAACTATTTTCTCCATTATTTGCATACTATTGAATTATAACTTTGCAAGTGTTTTACAGTATTATTTCTTTTTAGGTGTGTACTTTGATGCTAGAGTTGAACACATAAAATTTGTTGATTTTTGTGGCAAGTACAGACTGCCATTGTTACAATATTTATGCTCTCCTATGTGCAGCACATCTTCCAATTCCAGTGGTCAGAGCGACACTAATAGCTCAGATGATGACAGCGATATCCCAGAAAGCAGATTACGAAGAGTTCTACTCGGTTAAAATAAAAATCTCTCAATTTTTTTGGTGACATTTTGTTTATTAGGTACAGTTAGAGTTGACAAAGTGTAGTTTATTACAGCAGGGCTGATTGTGCTCCGGAAAAAATCAGGATTTCCAGATTTTTCGCTTGCAGTGATCCGGAAGTTTCCAGAGATCGAAGGTCCTGATGTTTAAAAAAATCATTGATCACAGAAGTTTCCGGAAATCAAGATTTCAACGGTGGAACTTGACCACTGCTTATTTTATTTGTTTGTAAGGGAGAGCCAGATACTTTGTAAGCTTATATTCATGATTAATATTCATTTTTTTATCAGTAAATAGTTGTGTTATGATCATAAACTTAAGAAAGACTTATTTGTAAATTTTAATTACTTCTCCAGGTCATCATAGGTATGTGTAAAAGTTTAAATATATTTTAAGTAAACTAAGAAATATTGAGAAAAAGGAAGAAAAAAACTTTTTACTTTTTTTTTTTCAAATTTTTCAATTAGAAAAAAAATTTTTTTTTTTAAAAGACAGTTTTTTTTTTTTTTNTTTTTTTTAACTCAAGAAATTTTCCGGAATTTTGACTTGGGCTCACAATCACCCCTGTTACAGCATCCAATTACTTTTAAGTCATAATTGCTGTGCTTTTAGCTCTGGTCTCTATATCTCTATTAAAGCATTAAATAAAATTTTGGTTAATGAGGATAAAATTTTTATCCTGTTTTTTTATTTTTTATTATTATTATTATTTAAGGGTGTGTAGCATTTTTAAAAAGTGCTTAATGGTGCTTACTTTTTATTTACTTTTATTAAAAGCCTTTGAAGGTGCTTATTTAATTTGGGGTTTGAAAAAGTGCTTAATTTTCTATCTTTGAAAAAGATTTTTTGGCTTTTTTTTGTTGCAGTATTGATTGTCGTTCTAAATTACAAAAGATGCGCGATTTTCACAATTTTCTCTACAATGTTTATCAGAAACTAGTTATTTTATCATGATTATGTTCAGTTTTTTAATTTTATTGATTTTATGTTTATAAATTAAGAACTTTAAACGCTAGAATTATAATTTTTTTTTTTTTGCTGCACAGATCCTAATTATGAAAAATTTTTTTCTTTGGAAAGTGCTAAAAAATATTTTTGAGTGCTTAAAAAGTACTCAAAAATTGCTTATTTTTTGTGGAAAAATCTGGCTACGCACCCTGTATTTATTTTTTCTATTTAAAATTCTTGTTTTTCCTGAAATTTTTTTAATAGAAATTAATTTTATGCTCTATATAGTTCATTGTTGCATATAATTTGATTGTTTGTGTAAGTACCCTTCAAAAATATATATAGATATATCTTTATAGTTTAGATTTTAACATCTAAGCTGCTAAAATTCTGATTGCACATTGTTACTTGCAATCGTGGTTCAATATTAATAGTATATAAAATTGAAATTGTGATTGTTAACTATTATTACCTGTAATCAGTTACATTTTGTTCAACTCTGGCTACTGAAATGAAAACACTTTAGGGGAGGCTAAGTTTTAATAGTCTAGTTTAATAATCTGTTTACCCTAAAATCATCTTACAGATTATGCAGTTATTTTTAAAGAATTTATTTTCTATGATTAGAATGTTTTTTTTTTTTTTCGTACTAAAATATATATATATATTTTTTTTAAAGTACATTTTTGAGAAAATAGTTACTTATGTTGTGGAATAATTTCAAGCTTAGACTATAACAATGACTATATTGAGAGGGATAAAAACTTTTAGTCAAAAATAATTTTTCCCCAATATAAAATACAGCAAATAATGTTAAATAAAATATTGAATAGAATATTAATGATATTAATAGGAGTATACAAAGATCTGAAATTATTTTCATTTATTTACCTTGAAAAAAATTTTTAAATTGTATCATGCATCATCGTGTTATAGACTGAAAATTTCGATGAATTGATTCTTACTTACAATTAAAATTATTTTTTTGAACCTTTCATTATATATAATGTGTTTATCATTCTTATATATTTAGCATTTTGTTATTATGAAGTTTATTTTGTTAGTTATATATTTTTATGAAATAGTTCAAATATATTTTTTTCGTTGTATTTTTACATTAAAATAGTCTAAAATGCTTTTCTCTTTTTTTTTATTTCTGTATTGATAGTGTAAATTACTTGTAATTCTTCTAACTCGAATGTGCAATATTTTGAGTCTTGTAACAATATGTTTTTGTTAAACATGCGACTACATCTCTTGTAAAATCAAAATTAGATTGACATGTGTTTTTACATTAGGAATTTCTAATAAAACAAAATATCTTACTAATTTCTATTTTTTACTAATTTTACGAGCGCTTTATTAATTTTCCCTATATTTCTTGACAATTTTAATTTTGGGTATTTAGGTTAGATAACCAAACTTTTTTATCACTTTGATTAGTTAATAGAACATTATCCTGTTGAAGAACTCTTTCATGGCAATTCACCTATACAAAAGTGATTTTACTGTGTGTCTTTAAAGGGAACTCATCCAGACTAAAAGTCTGGGACTGTCTGCTGCGATGGTTACAAACGAGAGCACATTTCCAATGGAGGAAAGAAGGTGTCGATTGGTTTACTCACGACGGCCTACGCTAAGATTAAAACAAAACTATTCACCCCACACCCCTATTCACAGTGGCTTTTCCTCGTATCTATAGTACCTGCCAGGACATGAGACTGGTGTCTGGAGGAGTTCTCCTGAAAGCCGAAATATAGCAGGGGCGTTGTACTTCGGGGGTATCCCGGAATTCAGGGTTTTTCGTATCATTCTTCCGGGTTAAAAAACTAGAAGCAGAAAATGCTAGTTTTGCACAAATATCGCAAAATTCGGCATATTTCAAGACCATTGGTTCACAGACTTCGTGAATCAAAAACTTACATTAATAAATTTTGATGTTCACATGCATTCTTCAACCAATTACGTCCTGCGTTATTCTTCTGCCAATTAGATTGTTTTGGTTTGGCTGATTTTTGCCATTTTGAATATTTGGAACATTGCCGGAATCTGCTAATATGGCTAATCTTATTCACATGATGTTAATATTAAGCATCGATTTTTGTATTTACTTGATTTAAAAGATTACGCTTTGTTATTTGTATTCAGGCGATTTAAAAACCTGACATCATGACTTGAATTCACACGTTTTCAAAACCAAATATAAAGATTTGTACTCGTGCAAGTTTAAAATCTAATGCCGCTTTTTGTATTCACACGTTTTAAAAATCCTATTTTGCAATTGGTATTCACACGTTTTTAATTTCAAACATCGAATTTTGAATTTCTGTAAGTGATTTAAAAACTATGCATCGCAATTCGTATTCAGGAGATCTGAAAATTATGCACGGGGAATCGTATTTAAATTATTCAAAAAGTCAATATCACAATTTGTTTTTAGAGTCTAATATTGCAATTCTTGTGTAAGAAGCAAATTTTTTCTTGAATTAGTTGCTCCAAAGTTGTGATATATTTTGCATTAGTGGGTATATTAATTATAAATGCAAAGAAAGTATGTTAAATATGAAGCCTATAGATTGATTTTTCGCACATAAAATTTTCAAGGTTTTTCACATTTTCCACAATTTCCCCTGCTATAGGTAAACCTAGTGTGAACCCTGAGATACAAATTCTGAATTTTTTTTTTTTTCTTCAAAATATCGAAATGCAAACAAATTATGGTAGGATTATGCAATAAGCAAGTAATCCTGCAATAATTTGTTTATATTTTGTTACATTTTATTCAGCATTTTCATCTTCATGGTTTACTCTTGATATTAACCAAAAAAAAATTTTTATTAAACTTTTAAATATCAATGGAAGTAAAACAGAATTTTACAGTGAAAATTTTATTTCCCGGTATTGCATTTTCTTAATCAGAAAATTAATTATAGACGAAGTTTCTATAGAATTGTGTTAGTTGATTTGTTTTTAACTTAGTATTATTTTAATATAGTTCCGTTAAAATATGCTAAATACTCGAAACAATCTCAAGAAAGAACAGAGCATCAAAGTTGAGAAGTTTTACCTGATCCTCTGTATTTCCAGGACATAGCTCCATCCAACTATCACATGCTTTTTTATCATGGAAAACAATTTTCTTATAACACAGCTTTAAGGCAAAGCTGTATATAGCTATGACTATATTCAGCTATATACATAGCTATAGCAATACTATGTACAGCTTCAAAACTGAGATGTCAAACAGGAATATGGAGATAAAAATTTTGCTAATTTTAGAGCTTTTATTGTGTTGGAAATAGATAATTGAAGCCAGGAAATATTTTACGTGATAAAATAAATTAAAACAGTGTTGCCGGTTCTTGCCGAATGCAATCAACAGGCCGAGATGATTTAAAGATAATATTTCTTTCATAACTTTGTAGTATCCATTGATAACCATGTGGGATTATCAATACACAGCAATTAGTTTTCTCTAAATTCTATTTTTTACTCTACCCTGACTTCCAGGAATTAGCAAAATATAGTTCTATGACCTGGAAAACAGATCATGGTGTGGAGAGTTTTTAAAAAGTGCTTAAAGGTGCTTATTTTCGTTTTTTAAAAGCACTTAGAGGTGCTTTTTTCATTGGGTGCTTTTTAAAAGTGCTTTATTTTTCCCTTTTCGAAAATGAGAATTTTTTCTTTACCATGTCATGTTTCGCCACATATTATGCAAAAGTGTGCTTTTCGCATTGTTCTATTCAATGCTTTCACAATTCATTAAAACACAATATGTTTTAGTGTACCTCAGTCCATAGCGTGTGAAAGTGCCCATCATTTTACATGTTTGATGAAATATTTCAGAGTCCGCATGTGCTTCTACTGAGCTGGGTTCGGTGTGATTATTGCACTCTCGTGTGCAACTCTGCTGCATTTTGCAAGATATTCTCAATTTCAAGCTTCATTTTTCGCCCTCTGAAATCGAACCGAAAAATCTCTCGATCATTTTTCTAATGGCTAATATAATCAGGAAAAGAGGTCTTTGTCAAAAACTAGTTATTTTATCATGATCATGTAAAGTCTTTGAAAATTATTTTGCATTTTGTTGGTGTACATAGTGCTTAAAAATATTTTTTGAGTGCTTAATCACTTAAAGGTGCTTATTTGTTGTTGAAAGATTTGGCTACGCACCCAGTAAGTTGAAAAATATAACAATAATTTATGTTATAATTTTCTTTTCCTCAAAAAAAAAAAACTAATTTTTATTTAATATATTAATATTTGGAAAAACCAAACTAGATTTCCAAAATTTAGATAAGGATGCTTTCTCCAAACGATTAAACACTGTATTCAAATAAAATAAAAAACAATGGAAGAATTTTTTTAAAAGAAAAAAAGAGGTAGAGGAAAAAGATCTGAT